ATGGATCAGCGAGGGACATAAACCAAATAAATTTTGGCAAGATGAAACTGTTACAAGTCGAAGACAGGCTTTTTTAAATAATTTATCTACTGGTTTAAATCCACCATCAGGAAAGGGGCGCAGACTAATAATAGTACACATCGGCAGTTCAAACGGTTTTGTTAAAGGTGGTTTATTGACTTTTGAATCTACTCGTACCGGTGACTACCATGAGGACATGAATGCTGATGTCTTTAAAGAGTGGTTTGAACAAATTATAGATCTTCTTTCTCAGAAATGTATAATAGTAATGGATAATGCAAGTTATCACTCGAGACTTATAGAAAAATGCCCACTACCAAGTGGTTAAAAAAAGATTTACAGAATTGGCTAAATTCAAAGAATATTAAGTTCCATCCCGGTTCTGTGAGAAAAGAACTGTGTTCCCTTCATAAAGAGAAATAAAAAAAAATGAAATTGATGAAATTGCAAAAAATCGTGGGATGACGGTGGTTAGATCACCACCATATCATTGCGAAGTAAACCCGATTGAACTGATATGGGCACAGATAAAGGGAGAAATTTCAAGAAAAAATAATTCTTTTAGAATGAGTGATGTTAAACAGTTGTTTTTGGAGGCTGTAAATAATGTGAAGCCTGAAAACTGGGAAAAGGCAGTAAATCATACGATTAAAGAAGATGAGAAAATGTGGAAGTTGGACAATATTACTGATGAAATGATCGAGCCACTCATTGTAAATATTGGTTGCGACAGTTCATCTTCTGATTTCGATTCTGATTTGGATTTGTAGGTAAGAAGTAGTTTTTATATTAAAATTATTATTTATGAACGTAACGTTGTTTAAAAGTCAAAGTTTAAACCCTTATACCTACATAACCCGTTTGACATACCTTGTGGAAAAATAAAACATTTTAGAAAAAATTGCACTTTTTAACCTTCAGCTGTTTAGAAGTTATAAGCAGGTTAATTAGGTCAAAATATAAGTGTATACTCGAGGAATAACTTCAAAAAATATTTTAACTGTCTACTAAAAGAAGTGGTACGCCTATGGATTACGAACGCTTTATTATTTTAATACTCTCTCATACATAAAAATAAACTATATCATATTACTAATGTTACAAAAACTCTTAGGTCATTACTTGGTAAATTCAAATTTTTAACAACAATTTTGGACTTACCTCTTCTTAAAACACTATATTATGCAAAATAAATGTGATTTAGTCCAAAAGAACTTTTTAAAAAACAAATTTCAAGAATATAAATTTTATTAACTCTTACTACATTGAATGCTAAATTAATAATAATTGTTTCACATAAACTAAAAGAAAGGTGGAATGAACGTGAGAATGCAAGCTTGCATTCTCCTGGCATCGAGTTAAGCAGAGTTCGCTGTACTGTGACTATAACTTGCATTGGTTGATTCTCGCCTCTCCTATAGAATTGTAGGATGGGGAGGAGTAATATATACTCATCTAAAAAAGCTAGAAGTAGTCCAAAAATTATTTTTAAAAATAATACTTCAGAAAAATAGAACTTACTCTTCGAATGCTCTTTATAAAGTGGCAGAGATCCTAAAGTTAAGGCAAACATTTTTCTTATTAACTCAAGAAAAATATTCATTGGATTTAAAATGCATATGTCATTGTCATAAAACTAGAAGCTAGGATTCCGGAAAATTAATGATACCAATTGCCAAAAAAACAATAGGGCATAAAAGTCTTGTTTTTGGGTCCTAGATTTTTAAATTTTTTACCAAAGGAAATGTGTTTCTCAACTTATTCGGTATTTTATTTTAGGAAAAAATGTAATTCTTTTTAATAAATATACCAAGAAAAGATATTTATAAATTTTTTGATTTGTGAAAACAAATTAAACAATGTGGAAATATACAATGTTAGTAAGATGCATTTAAAAATGTAAAAATAAAATAAACAAATAAAGCCAGCCCACAGACAGCTTTGGCTTTGTGGGAATTGTTTTCTTTTTTTGTGTTAATTTTGTATTTTTGAAAAAATTAAAATGAAAAATTTAAGTTTAATTGTAATAATTGATGCAAATAAAGATTATTATTATTATTATTATTATTGCTGTTTTGTAGATCGTCTTTCAAAAAATCAAACTACCGATATTATAAAAACGCTACCACTAGAAAATATTCAAAAAATAAAAATATATACACCACTAAATAACAATAAACTCGCTTTTTCATTCGGTGGCGTTACTTCGTCGAAGTCAACGGGAATGAGGCCACCGTAGCGTCTACGAATCGCTTTTTTCGCGCATAAGTAATGCGAAATTGTGAAAGATTAATTGGCTAATATATTACAGAATCGTTACATAAAAATTCAGAAAATTATATCGTAGCCCATTTCTTCATAAATCGGCTGCCTGATTTGTTCACCCGGTTCTCGTAACATTGGTCAAAAAAAGTCTAAAACAATTTGATTTAATATCAAATTGCCTATATAAACACAGATGATCTAAAATACATATGTTCTAAGTACGTTTGGTCTAAATACATTTGATCTAAAATACTTATTATTATTATTATTATTATTATTATTTGATAAAAAATTCATTTTATATAATTACATTATAAAATACAAAAATAATTCATAACTGTTGAGTTTGCGGTTCTATACCACGATGGCTCTAGGCCGCACAGGTTAGGTAGAATAGTTAAGTTTTTAGTTTTTCTAATTGTATATAATAAAAAAATGTATTTACCTACTCGTAATCTGTACGGCCTGGAGCCACAGCGGGTTGCTTCGCAGAAAAATTATGCCTAAAATGAGAAAAATAAATAAAACTTGTAAATGTTATTTAGACTAATGCTCTTTTAGGTCTGATGCACTTTAGACAAAGATTTTAGATCAAATACAATTTAGACGAATTGATTTTTATTCAAAATGTATTTTAGATCAATTTAGGCAATTTTTTTTTAACCCTTAAGTTGGCAGTAACAGAAATAGTCATTACAAAACATATTTTTTATTGAAAAACTACTAAATAACGGTTTTAAAATAAAATGTCAACATCAAAAAAATTTTACTTGATATTTTTAAGAAAAATACTAACTTGTATCTTATAGGATACGTTGCCAAGTATATAACAAATTTGTATTTTACTTAAATATTTAATTTCTATATCTATTGAAGTTTTATTTATTCTAGAATGTTAGGAAGTAATTCTTTGAATTCACTAAACAAAGTCTGACGTTGCATTTTTGGAAAAAAATTGTAGTTTGGCCATTTTTGTCATAAACGGCATCTTCCTTTTTTTGCCATATATTGCAAAATGCCCCACATTATTGAAACGGATATTTCGTTGAGTAAATTGTTTTGTTGCCACGTATAAACTGGCAACGCTGACATTATTCGTTTCCTGCTCGCGCTAATGATATGTAATTTTCACATGGACTTGTGCTAAGCCTATTGGAAAACATTCGGTGGCCGACACTGTATGCTGCCCGGAAACAACAATTCTATAAAGTAATTTAATATTACTATTATTTTTATTTTTTGTGACAGTTTATTGTCTTTGTGTAAAATAATTCACTTCACATTTATAGAAATAAAACAAAATAAGGTATGCTTAGGAACTTGGCAATGTATCCTATAACATACATTTACCTTCTGTCCTTTCGGGCTGAAGTTTTTTTACAAAAATAAATGTCTATAAGTATAAATATGACTTATTATTATTATTTGAAAACACATCTTATATTTTTAATTCTAATAGATACCTTAATAATTTGAATAAAATAACAAACAAATACTTATTGCAAGTCTGTTATATCTCAAGATGTTCATTAATAGTGAATCACTATGAAAGTTGTCACTTAGTAACTTAAATCTAAATTAAAATCATCTGACAGCAAGCGTATTAGGCATTCCAACGACCTGTCAAACAATAGGTGCCAGTGGGAAATTCTTGTATATCTAAGGGGGTAGCGACATAGTCTTGCAACTTGGACGCTATTTTTATTCAAAGTAGTAGTCGCCAAGCCTGCCAATTTATGAAGAAATGTATAGGTGGGTTTTTTAAATATTATTTTTATTGCGTTTGACATAAAATATTTAAATGTAATCCATTATTCATGATTTTACGTAAAGTAGAAAGAATACACCATATGTAGCCACCCTTAGATATACCAAACCTGCCCACTGTTAATTCATTTGTTTGGAATGCCTAATTAGGCATTCCAACGACCTGTCAAACAATAGGTGCCAGTGGGAAATTCTTGTATATCTAAGGGGGGTAGCGACATAGTCTTGCAACTTGGACGCTATTTTTATTCAAAGTAGTAGTCGCCAAGCCTGCCAATTTATGAAGAAATGTATAGGTGGGTTTTTTAAATATTATTTTTATTGCGTTTGACATAAAATATTTAAATGTAATCCATTATTCATGATTTTACGTAAAGTAGAAAGAATACACCATATGTAGCCACCCTTAGATATACCAAACCTGCCCACTGGTAATTCATTTGTTTGGAATGCCTAATTAGGCATTCCAACGACCTGTCAAACAATAGGTGCCAGTGGGAAATTCTTGTATATCTAAGGGGGTAGCGACATAGTCTTGCAACTTGGACGCTATTTTTATTCAAAGTAGTAGTCGCCAAGCCTGCCAATTTATGAAGAAATGTATAGGTGGGTTTTTTAAATATTATTTTTATTGCGTTTGACATAAAATATTTAAATGTAATCCATTATTCATGATTTTACGTAAAGTAGATAGAATACACCATATGTCGCCACCCTTAGATATACCAAACCTGCCCACTGGTAATTCATTTGTTTGGAATGCCTAATTGACAAATTCATGGACCAATATGGTTCTAAATGTATGTATACTACCCAGAATACACATAGGTATTAAATAATTATATTTATATTAGCTTACTTTTGATGTATCCTATAGGATACGTTGCCAACTTAAGGGTTAAACCAATTTTCCGGGAACCCCTTTCACCCCATTTATTTCCTTTTAGGTGGATATACAAAAAGTTGTACCGATGCTCCACCCAACCAGACGAAGAGAGCGATCTACCGCCCAAAAGGATCATTGTACCAAGCAGCGCTTGCGTCTGGGTGATGGTTCTCTACGTCTTGGCAGGCGCTGGTGCGTTCTGGGCCTGGGAGGGATGGGAGTACTTGGACAGCGTTTATTTCTGCGCTACCAGCCTGTGCAAAATAGGCATGGGCGATTTTGTGCCTGGAAAGAATATTCTATCGCCAACCGAAGGCGATCAGACTAAACTTGTGATCAGTTACGTGTATATATTTTTCGGACTCGGTTTGGTGGCGATGTGTTACAATTTGATGAGGGAAGAAATTAGGGAGAAAGTTAAAAATATACAAGAAGATTTCAATCAGTGTTTGGAGGATACCAGGACGAGGATTATTGCGTGTTGCAATAAAATTCGCGGAATCGAAGATGTGTATTACTGATGCAATTATTTATGTGTTTTTTTAATAATTTAAGCTATGAACTTCTTTTTTAAATATAATTTTGTGGGACAAAGTAGGAGTTTACTCGAAAGGGCACAGTGGTGTTTGGTAAGTATTAAAATTGCTGTGTATTTTTAAAATTATTAATTGCTTTGTAAATACAGATGTAATTCTGTGGCTTTTGGGAGACATATGTTAACTCCAAACACATGATATGCACATGATATAATATTTTAACAAGATTAAACCAAACAAAAATTTAATAAAGTGGACTTATCGATATTTTTTCAAACTATAACAGATTTACTAGCAGTGCTGGACTTAACATAGTTAGATCAAATGAAAATTCATACAAAAATATTTATATAATGTAAGACGTTTTCTTGCCTCCAAGAAAATATAACTCTTACAAGTGACACCCTAGGGCTCGAAAGCACTCGGGCGCCAGTTTTATTAATGTGGTTTGCTCCACAACTCAGGCAGCTTCTAGTGGAGATGACGGAAAAACTCCAGGGGTCTCGTTGATATCAGACTATGCACATAAGAGGGTAACAATAGTGGGCTTTAATCGTTATTGTTACGTTAAAGAATTGTCTAAAGCTGAAAGAGAAGGGAAAGGTCGACACACAATTATAAGCCAAATTTTTGAAAATTAATACATGTATTGCTTACGAAAACTCTTAACAATATTTTATTTAAGTAACTATCTCAAAGCCCAACCCCTCCATAGGTCTTCATAACCCTGAACAAAAATAAACAAAAACAAGCGGTTGCGGACGATAGCTTGACAGGCCGGAGCTAAATCAGACGTGATTAGATAAATATAGAGATAAAAAAAATGACACGGAGTTCTGGATTATGTCGGGTTACGGTAGCATCTAATTATGAATAAGGAATATAAACGGAAATAGTATTCAATATTAAGAATTATGAATTAGAAGAAAAATAAAATTAATTGGTACCAGGTAACTATTTTAGCTCCCCATCTGATATCCCACCCTTTTGAAGTTGTATTAAAGTTACAGACACTACCTAATTGCTAGTAGTGTCCCGACACAGCACGCATACAGAACACTAGGTAGGTTTTAGGTAGTATTTATCTTCTTAAACGAAAATTAAATAAATAAAAAAATAAAATTATTATCGGTCTTGACCCTTTTGACTAAAATAACAAAAACGAATAAAATTACCACGGATAATATCTAATTGCTAATAGTGTCCCGACACAGCACGCATACAGACCACTAGTTAGTTTTCAGTTATTATATATTTTTTTTAACTTTAATCGAAGATCTATTAAAAGGAAAATAAAGCTCAATTTTTTTTATCACGGATAATACCTAATTACTAGTAGTGTCCCGACACAGCACGCATACAAAACACTAGCTAGGTATAAGTATTTATTTTTCTAAACGGAAATCAAATAAACGTGTTTTCGGTCGTGATCCCTTTTATAAAAAAAAAAAAATAAAATCCACGGATAATGTCTAATTACTTTTTCTCAAAATTAAAGATTTTTAACAGAGCAAAATTTTTTAATACAAATCGATTCTGTATTTGAATTTGAAACTCAAAAGAAAGTAAAGCAGGTATAAATTGGAATATGTTTTCTTTTTTCAAAAACAAAACAATAAGAGATCAGTTTTTTTTACCTATGCTTGTTGGACGGGATTTTGTCGGCGGCGGCTGGTACTGCTCGAATAGGATCTACACAGGGGGTATATCGCGCATGGTGTCATGGCGGCGGTGACGTCATGCATAGAGTTAGTAGAATTGTCACGAAGTAAATATCATATGGCAGACGCAAGTTGCAGTGGTTTGTAAGTCGTTTTTAGTGCCCCATAACATTTTAAGAGAATATTTGTATTATATTATGTTGTAAATGTTGTTCGTGAGGGGTATTGGTAAAAAAATATTAAAAAGGTACGCTATTTAGGGATGTAGCAGTCATAATCAAAGCAAAGGATTTAAAAAGTCATTGTTTTTTCGCTTTCTTCGAAGTAAGAGGTTAGTCAGAAGTGAGGAGTGGCCCAAGGGCGGCTCCTGTGGGAATCCCAGGGGATTATGTCCCCTTCTCCCTCTAGATAAAATAATTAAAAATCCATGAGACTTTTATTAAAAAAAAATTATGTATGGGAATGGTTAAAGTCAATGCTACCCCCTCGAAAGTTTATCTGAAGACTTTTAAAGACTGAACATTTCGTATTATACAGCAAAGGTCAAATTGTATATATTCCAAAGAAGGAAAATTTCTATATGTTGTTCTTGATGAAAGAATTAAAAAACTGTCAGTAACTTTGATCAGGAAAAAATTTCTTTTCATTTTGTATATACACCCACCTTGTAGTAGTTATTTGTATTTAGTACATTATTTTTATGCTATGCATTATATTGTATGAAAAAAATTTTTTAAAAATAAATTTTTGTTGTTTTACTTATACATAAATCCCATCTTTTCATAAAATATGTAGTTAAGTATATTCAATAATACAGATAAATGAGTTGCGAATCCTAATCAGGAAAAAATTTCCTGCGTCTCCAGATGCGAAACTTATACGCAGGGTCCCCAGTTGAGAAGTTCTGAGTTACGAAGATACCCTTCTCATTATCCTGGTTACAGATTCTTTTGAAGTCGAATGTTCTTCAAAATTAAAAACATGCATTCGGATTTGTATAACAAAAATTAATCAGTAAAAAGAAACAGGAAAAAAACTGTTATTTAAATAAATATTTCTTTTATGTATGTATTTGCATTTATTTTCCTTCAGTTCTTTATTTAACTATCCCATAATATTATCCTTAGATATTTAATTGAATTCCTTAAATATTATCCTTTAGTTAGTATTCATGAAATTTCTATAAATAGCATATATTTTCCTCACACTTCGTCAATATTTTTAAATTCGCGCCTATTCAAACTCTACGCGTGACGTAATGCGCGTGGCAGTTTCATTTTTGACACTGTTGATATCCTACCTTTTATTTGGATCTACATATATGTGACTTATCTCAATTTTCAATTTTTCGTGTTACGTCACTTCGTGATATTGACGACGATATGTCTCCTAAATGCCACAGAATTGTATTAGACAAGATGAGATGAAAATCTTAAAAGTGCTTTAAAAAAATGTAATGCCTTACAAGTTGGCAATATTTTATTTTTGAGATGCGCCAGGTCTGCTAATTACATTATCGCATGAAATATGCTTTCTGTACAGTATTAACTAATCTTTTTTTATGGGTATTTATTTAATTTTATACATACTTCGCTCTTCACTTGTTTGTATACAAAACAATATTTTGTATTCAAAGAAAAGTTAACTGCTGAACTAAAAATCGAAAATAAGTTCCATATAGACCAATCGCATTTTATAATGTAAGAGGATTAGACAAGTGTAACAAAATTAACGCTGGTCATATAGATATTTTTAGAATTTTTTGCGTTAATACAGGGCATGTCGGTCATTTGCTTTAAGAAAACATGGTGTCGGTCAATATTACCGCCATGATGCGAATTGAACCATTTATGCCGATCAATATTAAATTTCGATTTGATTTATATGTTGGATTTTTACTGTTAGGTCATTTATTTCGGACATTCAGATAGTGACAGGTTTAGGTGCCATATTTTCGCCTCAAAGAGGGTTGAAAAGTATATCGATTTTAAGTAGAATGAAAGAAAATTTACGAAGTATCTCCTGGGGATAACACATGGAAAATTCGATTTTCCCTAATAAAAATGTTTGCCCATATTTCCACGCAAGCCGTGTTCACTATATGATTAATTAATAGAACTAGGCTTCGGAAAACCAAAGACTTTAATGTTGCAAGTGCCTAATGGGTTTCTAAGGAAAAATCGAGATTTTAGTCGATTTTTCCAGACAAGTACATCGAATGTATGAAAAGGAACATCGTCACTAGTCCAAAAAACAATTTGGTTTGAATGATCCGAATGTATAAATGCATTTTTGGGTCGGAAAATTTTTCTGGTAAAGAAAATCCAATTTTCCATGTGTTATCCCCAAGAGCCACTCGTAAATTTTCTTTTATTCTACTCAACATCGATGTTGTTCGACCCTCTTCGAGGCTTGCATGCGAAAATGGGGCACCTAAATCGGTCACTATCTGACGGTCTAATTGTTGAAACCCATTTATACCTTCTGATCGATTGGTACGTGCGACCAATCACATTTTATATTGTAAGACGATTAGTAACTTGGTTGGCGCCGGCCAATCTGACCGTCCTTGTACAAATGGAATCGATAATGCCGGCCAATATGGCAGGCGCTGCAGTTAACTTATTTAAAAATTACCATAAATTTTATTTGCTTTAAGTCATTTTCGATTTGATTTATACATATTATGTTGAATTATTTTTGTTAGGTTATTCATTTCGGCGAACATTGTTGAAACCCATGAGCGATCAATTTTTGCCAGATTTGATTCGCTTGACAAATATTTCCGGATTCGATAATAGATCCAATGACGTCGTTTACTGCAGACCGTCAACAAACGTCGAAAATCCAAATGTTTGCGTATTTTTCGGAGGAGATGTACAGGTAATTCACTATGTCTTTTAACTATGGCTAACCGATCCAGTTTTATTCAAAAAGCAACGTTGTCATTTATTACTTTTTTAGGATTTTACAGAAAACATGCTTAGTCACAGAGACAACAAAAACCACGTACAATGGAACTTGGAAAATACGGCTAAATTGTTGCAACATAGCTTTGTTGACAGTCATATAGTTGTGGTACGACCAGTAAGGTAAGCATTCGATAAAACAGCTGAAACCAGATTGGTTTAATTGAATAAATCTGTATAGTGTGAGAGCTGTGAACAAAAACATATATAGGAACTTGTCACATTATTTTTATGCTCAAATATTTTGGGATAACCTCTATATAGTGAAGGGTTCTTCAACTATACTACTTTTATTCCCTTTTAGGATGGAATACCGAACATTTAGCTGTTACGAAAACTTCGTACAGTGCACACATTGCGGTGTTCCGGAGCATTTACCCATGTACAATGGTTTGCAGCATCTGGAAGAACTCTTACACAACGTGTCTGTAAAAATTCAAAACATGACAGAGCAGGAGTTAAACGACAGCGTTCAAATAGCTAAAAATGGACTTGTCGATGGAACCAGTAGGTAATTTTTTAGACCAAATCAACTCATGTGCATTGCTAAGATTGGGGGTCTGACCGTACTCCTCTGCATAAAGATAAACATCGGGCATGAGCAACCTTTATTGTCCTATGGACCTTGAGTAGACCCAGACAACACACCAAATCCCAGAGATATCCACAGAATATCTTTTGTGGACATCCCGTGGATCTAATGTGGATATCCAAATGTCCGTCTATATCCAGAATATAGAAGATATCCTATGAATATCCAGCAAAATATCTAATGGGTATCTCCCAAACAATACAAGAAATCCCAGAGATATCCACAGAATATATTTTAAGGATATCCAATATATCCACAAGATATTTTATAGATATCCAGTGGATCTAATATGGATATTCAAATGTCCGTCTATATCCAGGATATAGAAGATATTCAGCAACATATTTTATGAGTATCTTCAGTAGTAACTAGTGGATATATCCTATAAATAAAAAAGGAAATAATTCCAAACTCAAATGTGACATTCTTGGACCAGTTTCGTCCTTATAAGGACTCTTCTGCAATAAATAGAAATTCTCGACTCCAGTCTCTAATGGAGTCTGATTGCAATACCAATTTCGGTCGAACTCAATTACGGCGGGTTGAGCATGAGTAGATATTCAACGAGCGAAAGTGGTATCGCCATCTGTACTTAGTAAGCAAAATCAAAGGTCGCTTGTAGTACCTAGTTCAGAAACTAGGTGGAATAAAAGCCAGGCGGGCTATTCTTAAAAAAAGGAAATAATTCTAGTCCTAATAAGAACGAAACCGGTCCAAGAATGACTTTCTTCTTTGTGGGCAAAATCAAAAATTACATCTAGTGGATATCCATCATGGTTTGCGCTCGCGCCTAGACTTTGATATATTTAGTGGATGTCCATGAGATATTGAATACACCTTAAGGCGGGTACAGATCTGAGCACGTACGCGTATGAGGCAAGCCGAGGCCGAACCGAATGCCTCGTGTGACGCATTTTGTATACACGAATGGTGGACGCACAAGCCGCTGTTCGCCACTGATCCAGTAAATTTGTGAGCACGCAACCGTATACCCAGAACATTCGTAAAATTAAAACAAAAATTAAGGATGAGGATGACGTCGCGGAGTTGAGTGTATGTTTTATTATTTTATCAGACACATTAAAGAAAAAAGGAGAGAAAGAAATCGATTGCCGATATCCTGCCAAGGATATTCTTTTTTTATAGAGTTGTAAGTACTGGCGTTTTGCTCTCTTAAGATATTACGCTGATTATTTAAATCCAGGAGAAGCAAAACGTTTTCCTGGTTCCACGCCATGCAAAATAAATCCTAAAAACTCGCTATAATCTGTACGGTGCTGTATAGTACAAATTCCCCGTCCAGACTGAGCACGTACCGCGCATTGCTTCCCTTTGATGTACCGCCAACAAACGAATGGGGCGAGGCCGTACGGCGCACACAACGAGGCAATTTGCCGCGCCTCGGAAGCCCGTCCACATGTACATGCTCATGCGTCCTCGGCTTGCCTCCATACGCGTACGTTCTCAGATCTGTACCCGCCTTTAAATATCTGAACGGTACTATTAGCCACAATGGCGAGCACAATGGTGTAATTGTTTAATAATTTGCTATATAATTACTATTATTTATGGACATTTGCATGTCTAATTTTTTGTCATCCTGAAAGACATTCTCGATATATTTAAAAAAAAATAGTCAATTTTTTTTGGCCCAGTTTAACCTTGAGGTACCAATGCCTGATCATTTTTGTCTTTATCTTATTTACAATTTTCGCATTTTAGTGCTTTTTCAGGAAATTGAATTTATCTTACTTTCAGAATGATCTCTATTCGTACATAATCAAAATTTTCAGATTCGCCACAAAATGCAGCAAATATACCCACCAGAAATACGTTAAATCTAGACGAATGTAACGTTACTTTGGTAGGATTCAGTAAAGGATGTGTGGTTCTAAATCAATTCCTTTACGAATTTGATTACTACAGTAGCAACGCTGTGGCTACAAATTTAAAGATAATTCCAAAAATTCGGGAGATGTATTGGTTAGACGGTGGACATTCCGGGGGTAAAAATACTTGGATGACGTCTGCAAATTTGTTGGAAAGTATAGCTAAATTAGGTAATTACATTTCTTCTTTCATCGCTAAATATAAGTAAAAATTATCATATATATTGAGTACGGTCCATCTAATCAAAAGTGTTTAAAATATGAATTAAGGATAAAAAAATGTCTTCACACATTTTATTTAAAACATTTTTTCATATATTCATTTCTGACGAAAATATTAAGAAAATATAATTTTTGCATTTTTTTTCAAATTCCTTCTTTACATTCCGTTTTAGAGAAATTATGTATATAACAAAAATTATAGAGAATAACATCACCAACAACTTTTATTCGAAGAATTTTCTTCTCCATCATAAAAAACAGAACTATACCTTAAAGTAGAAAAATCCCCAGATACTCTGACTATACCCAAAATTAAGCGCACCGCAAGATTAAGTTTAAAAGTTGGTGTTTTTCTCTTTATCAGTTTTTCAGGTATCATCGCGAAAAAAGTCAGAACGCATTTAGAAATAGAAATAGAATTTATTCATCTTTGAGAATTATATACTGTATAAAGACACTAGGTACATAATGTAAAATCCTATCAGACTAATCAAAAAAGTGTTAAGTAAAATATATTAAAAAATAAAATAAAATATATATAATAGACAATTCATGGTTAAGATTTAATTTGGAAGTTGCCATTTTTATATGAGCTTCCCAATTTAATTTGGGATCTAATATTATTCCTAAAAATTTTATGTCATCAACGCTTTGAATAGTTTTTCCGCCAACGTGCAAGTAGGGTTCGTAATCTGGTAATATGTTTTTGGGTAGAAATTGCATGAAGTTTGTTTTTGTTACATTTAATGCCAGACCGTTATCTTTACAATACTGGTTAAACTCACGAGAGGCCTCGCTGCTACTTTGAGTGACCTGTTCAATTTGATCATCTGCCATTACAATATTGGTATCATCGGCATATTGAACTATTTGTTGAGAGCTTAAACAAAAATTACTTATATCACTTATAAAAACTATAAAAAGAAGTGGACCCAAAATTGAACCATGGGGAACTCCTATTGTACATGGAAGAGGATCAGATTTTAGACTATTTGTTACAATTACTTGAGTTCGATTTATTAAGTAAGACTGTATCCATTCATAAGGTTTCCCTCGTATTCCTAACCCATTCATCTTCAATAATAAAAGCAGGGCCGCCGAGAGCCAGACCGGGCCCCAGGACAATTCTCCACATCGGGCCCAGGACAATTCTCCAGATCGGGCCCCGCGACAATTTTATAAAAAATTAAAAACAAAAGGTCTTCAAGCAAAATTTTCTCCTCCTCTACTTGGATTTTTCTAAAAAAAGTCTTGAAGCAAAAAGTTCTCCTCCTTTACTTGGATTTCTCTAAACAAAAAAAGGTGGTCAAGCAAGAACTTCCCCCTCTTGTGTCCCACCATCGCTGCCGGACCGCCTTCTACCGTTTACCGGGCCCCCAATTGAGACCGGGTCCCGGGAGTTCGTCCCGGCTGCCCCCCCCCCCCCCTCTAGCCGGCCCTGAATAAAAGATTATGATCCACCATATCAAATGCACGTCTAAGGTCATAGAAGAGTCCCAAAATATGTTTTTTATCATTGAGTGCTTGATATATAAACTCTAGGCAAGCTGCAATTGCAGTAGATGTTGACTTATTTTTTCTAAATCCATTTTGAGTATCTGGCAACATATTAAAACTTTCAAGGTAATTAGTAAGTCTAATAGAGTATGCTGACTCAAATATTTTAGTTATTTGACTAGATATACAGATTAAACGATAATTTTCTATATTAGATGCAGATCTCTTATTTTTATAAACAGGAATTCCTTTAGATTCCTTCATATTTGGGAATAATCCCGAAACAAAGGATTCATTAATCAAATGTGATATGGGTTCAACAATACAATGAGCAACCGATAACAGAATTTTACCATTTATTTCGTCAATACCTTCAGTGGGTTTAGAAGTAGTTTTTTTGATTATAGTGATGATTTCACTAGTTGTTGGAAAAAAAAACTTTTATGATGTTTATCAATACTCATAGTATAGTTAAGTACAATATTATTTTTATTTACATTAATAAAATAGTCATTGATATAATTTACTTTTTCTAAGGGTGTTAATTTGTCATCATTTGTAAGTTTAATAGGATTCAATAAGTTGTTTTTTCTTTTTCCCCTACTCTCGTTTATTATATTCCAGGATTCTTTCATTACGTTATTACTTTTTAAAATACGATCATTATTTTTTCTTCTCATTGTTTTGTTATTTTTTGATACTCTTTTTTTAAATTATTGTAACGTTCTGTATAATATGTAGAATTTATTTCTTTCTTTAACCTGTTCATTTCACATAATAGATTATGTAACTCTTTAATATGAGGTGGAAACTGATTTTTTAATTTTTGTGGTTTTATCGCTTTCTTTGTTTTCGTAAATACAATATTGTAGTGGTATAGGAATTATTCATAAAAGATAGAAAATTTATCATTAAAATTAGTAGATGTGTATACTTCACGCCAATTTTCAACTGATAAAATATTTATAAAAGTTATTGCGTTAGGATCACTTAAATCTCGTTTATACCTGTATTTAAATTCGTTATTTTCAAAATTAGGTATTTTAATCGAACATAATAAGTAGTTATGATCAGACAAAAAAGTATCATATACACCCACCTTATCTACATCAAAATTGGTAAAAAAATTATCCAAACAAGTTGAGGTTGAAACATTTATATGATGTTTAATATTAAATTCCTTCAATAAGTCAATTAAAACAGTTTTTTGATTACCTTCAATCAAAAAACCTACGTTAATATCACCACAGATAAAATAGTGATTGTCGTTTTGATAAATATTATGAATTAATAGCTCCTGCTGATTTATAAAAGTGCTAAACTTAGTACAAGGTGGCTTATACACAGTAATAATAAATAAAAAAAGTTTAGAATCGATCTTTATTTTTCTACCACATACTTCAAATTCACCTTCTATACACCACCTATGTAAATTAATTGATTCAAAATTTGCAGCAATACTTGTTTTCATAAATATACTTGCACCACCTTTTTCTTTATTTATCCGTGAAAAATATGATACTAGCTTAAAATCGTCAATTGAGGTAGCTTGTAAATTGTTAGAATCAAGCCAATGTTCAGTAACACATAGAATACTTACATTTTGTTTCTGTAAAATTAAATTTAGATCAAAGCATTTATTGGCAAAACCTCCCTGTATATTGATATGCATTAAAGTAATATTTAACTGTTCGGAACTGCAAAATAGTAATTCATTATTTTCTTTCAAAAAGTGGTTTTCCATAGTAGTCCTTGAGGTCCCTATTTTATCTAGTTTGAAGTAGAGACTAGGTTTGAAAAATTTTCTTCACTCTTATGCGATCTCTGTTTTTGTAAATCTTCAAGAAATCGCTGATCTTGTTTAAAGTTGAATCGGGAATAAATTATATTTTTCGGCCAAAAATCTGATTTATATACTTGCTCCTGAAAATGAGGATCTATTCCCACTAGAAAAGCTTGATTATTCTGTCTTACAAAATATGTGTCTAGTTTCTTCACATAAATGTCTTCTGCGTTTGTGCGTTTATGAATGTATTTCTTAACATTCTCTTCATTTACAGTGTCTGATAATCTAGATACAAAGAGCCAAATTTTTTTGTTTGATTTTTCCCTTTCTTTAAATTCATCATCATCTTCTCCACTTCCTATAATTGTTTTGTATTTTCTCCTTTGCCGTCTTGTTACTGTGATATAATCATTCTCATGACTCCCCTCATTGGTATTATCTGCTAGATTTATTATTTCATTAGTTTCTTGTTGGGTTTGAATTTTCATTAGTTCTAATGCAACTTGTTTCCTTTGGAGGAATGAGTCATCCTGTACAGGGGCATTCCTATAATCGTTTGTGTTTTTGTTTGGTATTAAATGTTTATTTCCAACAGGTATACTCACACTTTGTTTTTTTTTTTATTCGGTTTTTCTATAAAAACTGGTCTTTTATTATCACTAATAGATAAGTTTTGATTTTTATTGTCAACTCTTATAAATTTAGGATTTATTTCGTTATATTGTGTTTGCAGATCAGAATATTTCGTTTTTTCATTTTTAAGTTCAACTTTTAAGATTTCTATTTTTTCACTCATTAATTGGTTTGCTAGTTTTTGTTCTTCTACTAGTAATTTTAAAAAGTTGTAAGCATCAATGCAAAATACATCACCTTTACATTTTTCTTGATCCATAGTCTTAGATTTTTCAATAACTTTTGGTTTACAGCATCTTATGATAACATTTATTTACTCTTTGTGCACACGATGGATGATATTTCAAGTCACAGATTTCACATTTTACACTAGCAGTTACTGATTTTTTACAATAATTACACTCATCAGTATTTTGCGCTTGCAGTTCAGTCGGCGCCATCTTGAACACAACCACAAACCGTAAAAATCCGTTGAAAACTTGAAAAAAAATCATGATTCCTATACTTTTATTACGGATTACTTGAAAGAAAAAGATATATTTCGAAAATTCCTCAAGGGTCAGATTTTAGCCCTAGATTGTTTTAATAATTTTTCAACGATTTTAATTTGCAGGAATAAGAATCATGGTCCACGTGACACCGTATCAAATAGAGGACGAACGCCGACCATGGATCAAAAAGGAGGAGAAGCTATTTAGCGATACGCTGAAAAAATTGGGGGTACCAATTCGTAGAATAGTTCATTTCGATGACATTCCAGCTAGCATTCAAAATCATTTTAACGTCCTTAATGTTTTCAAGAGCGCTGATAATTCGTGAGCACAAGTATTCAAACAGATCTCGATTAATGTGTTCTTATTTTAAGTACTTAAGTTTCAAATAAATGTTTTTTAATTTCGCATTAGTTTCTTTTTATAATAGCTATAAACGTTTTATTAAACATTAAATGGATCAGTGCCAACCAACAAAATTTCAACACAACCGGTCTTCGTATATTATTATTATTATTATTATTATTATTATTATTATTATAATACTCTTCATACACAGAAGTTTTATATTTTAAAAATTAATTTGTTCTACTTTAAACTGTATTTTGTTTTAATTATTTTGTGCTGATTTAGAATGGAAAATAAGGACCAAAACAACATTATTACTAGGTAAGTTTAACCAAATTCTATTTTTATGAGTCAACCTGCCCTTCTTACATACAAACTTTCAATAATAATAATAATAAATATTATTTATTTTAAAACCGAAAAATGATTATTTTTTTTTCTTTTCTTTTTGCAACTGGTGACAGTGAATTTTTTGAAACCGTTTCATAACGCTCCATATTAAACAACTGGTTGCGTAAAATAGATCATTTTGACAGTTACTGTCATTACAAAAAATGTCACTTTATATGTTAAAAAAAGTTATTTTTACGCTCTTGTCAGACGTAGTAATGGTTAAAATAAAACAATCATTCAAAATTTATTTTTTTTATTTTTAATTTTTTTTACACATCCTAATCAATATCCAATGTTCTAAACGACCCTTGCATTCCGAACTTATCCCCATATGGATTTCCAATTGGTCGTTTACTTTCATCCACAGTCACATAACTTTTATCATCGATGACATGTTTGTATTTACGAAGTTTGGCTTCCACCTCTTTTTTGTATTCCGGAATTGTCTTTGAATCAGTTCCGCCGTAATCTTTAGGAAGTACGTCTTTAGGTACAAACTTGTACAGAGTTTCTATGTCTTGATGGAGATTAAACTAAAATGCATTATTTTTATTCAAAACTAATGAAGCGTGTTCCAATAAAAGATTTCCAATGTTTCTGGATTGTATACATTTGCTTTACTTTACTCACAAACAGGGTCTGCGGCGCTAGATCGCAGGATCTAGGTGGCCAATTAACATCCCCATTTCTTGAAAGAAGTCTACCTTGAAACTCTTTGTAATAAGTTTATTGTTTCTTTTGCTGTGTGAGGTGTTGCACTGTTTTAGTGGAACCATTAATTGTCAAACATTGTGCGGTAATGCTCACGTGAAGATAACACCAGAAAGAGGTGCTCAGATTTTGGATAAAGAACTGTGTCCTGCCAGAGAAGTCGCGGTGGCCATTTGCTCGATATTGTGTTTCACGTATAATTGTATACGCTTATGATACCTATTGCTATAAAGTCTTATATTTTTTCTTATTTCGTTTTAATTCTATTTAATAAAAACATTGGGAACCGCTTATTGAAACACCCTGCCCATATTTGTTATCCCCTGTATATAAATTCCTTACCATATTAATAACTTCAGCTTTCAAAAAAGGTTTTATGAGTAATAAAAATTTTTCAATAATTGGTTGTACGTTAACAAAATGTACTTGTTTCAATTTTAATGGACGGGCCTCCTAAAATAGTAATTTACGTTACAAGACCGGAAAGTAGTGTTTTGCAGGTCGAGACAAGCAGATTACAGGGCGAGCCGTAGGCGAGACCTGGATGCTTGGCGAGACCTGCTTAACACTAATTTTCGGTCTCGTGACGTACAATATTTTTTTTAAGACCGACAATTCGATCTATTTAATTTAATAAAGTGATTAACAAATACTAAAACTAGATAATGGATACAACTGCATAAACTGACTAAATACAATATTTTTGAATATTAATGTTAAAAGTACATTTTTGCTGCTCCCAAAATTTCTTCTGAAATTTCATTTTCTGTGTCAGATAATTCAAAATCTGAATCCACATTTTTAAATTTGCGAAAACAAGTTTGACGTAAACATTAAATTAAAAATCAAGGAACTGTCACTTGACAATAAATCGAAACGTTGTTACCATAGTAACGAAAAATTAAGAAGATGTCTACTTTCCGGTCTTGATCCGCAAAACGTTATTTTCTTATTTAAAAATTGTTCAGAAAATGTATATTTTCTGGTCGGTCTTAAAAAAAATGTTTTGCCATAAATTATGTAACTTCTATCAAAATAATTTTTGTATATAATTAGCATTTGCAAAATTTTGTAGGCTGAGGCGTTTGGGAGGCTACAAAGTATAGCGTGCTTTGTTTGTGGGTTTAAAGGACTCTGGAAAGTAATTTTTGCCCTGTAGAAATAAAAAACAAAATAAAATCAATTTGCAAAAAAACTCAATTTTTAACTCTTGTATTTTAAAAAATACTTATTCTTTTAGTAATCTGTTAAAATAATTGTTTGAATATTAGCCATCTGATGACATCAATTTAGGCACGTGTGAGATATACACCGTCAGATAGTGATAGGTTTAGATGCCCCATTTTCGTATACAAGCTTCGAAGAGGGTTGAAATGAACATCGATTTTAAGTAGAATGAAAGTAAATTTAAGAGTGGCTCCTAGGGATAACACATGAAAAATTCTATTTTCTCCAACAAAAATGAAAGGTTATTTGTTGCCCATATTTCCACGCAAGCCGTGTTCACTGTATGATTAATTAATAGAACTAGGCTTCGGAAAACAAAAGGCTTTGATGTTGCAAGTGGCTAAAGGGTTGTAATAAGGGCGTAATCTTTTAAGGAAAAATCTAGATTTTACGAGATTTTTCCATACAACCCCATCGAATGTATGAAAATGTACATCGTCACTAGTCTGAAAAACATATTGTTTTGAATGATCCAAATGTATAAGTGCATTTTGGGGTCAGCAAATTTTTCTGATGTTATCCACAAAAGCCACTCGTAAATTTCCTTTCATTCTACTCAACATCGATGTGCTTTTCAACCCTCTTCGAGGCTTGTATGCGAAAATGGGACACCTACATCGATCACTATCTGACGATCTAATACTCTTATTGTTGAACAATAAATAAAGTAATATGAGCTGGTCACAGATATTATTAGATTTTCTGAGATAAATGCTTCAAACATTATCTCATCCACTGTCAACCAGAATACCTTACTGACCTGCGAGTATTCCGCTACTTTCTTTATGTGCATCAGAGAAATTTTGGTCAACAACTTCAAATTAGATTTCTCTAAATCGACTATAAATATTTCTCCTTCGCATAGCCTATCGTCCGTGAAGATCTGTAGATCGTTGAACATTGTGAACAGTTTTACAGAAGCTGCGCAGTGAAATTTATCGATGTTGTCCGAGTTTAATCTGACAATACACACTTTACAGTCGTTTACAGTTTCTGAAAGTTCGATCATGTCACTGAAAAATAAAGAATTTAAAATGCATCGCTGTTGGTTATTCAATAAAAACGGACTAATATAATAATAAGTTTGAAAATGAGGAACAAACTGAAGGTTTATCGAGAAAATTTTGTTGGTTTAAATTGCTGCAACAAATACCAGATAGATCGGAGGGGATAGCAAATCAAAGAAAAATTGAAAAATAAAAAATTGAAAAATCTAAAAAACGAAAAATCGAAAAATCGATTAACGAAAAATAATGTTTTGGAATTATTAAAACGATACCTTGCATTTCTTTAGTGAATTAATAACATTATATTAGGTCTGTAACCATAAGATTTAGAAATATACAGGGTAATCTAACTATTTTATAATTAAGTACCTACAAAATATATCGGTATACACATTTTTCCCGATATTAATGACAAGTTTTTATACATGGGACAATAAATTTGATAATCCTCATTTTCAGGTAGGTATAATTTAAATACTGGCTGCCTATTAGGTACAGGCAGGTACTTCACAATATCCGCTCCGTGTGTGACTGCAGCACGAATTCATTTATGTACTAATGGACTATTTCTCCATATACTGACAATACAATTTTTAATAGAACTCGCAATTAAAAAGTATATATGTTAGTTTTAATAAAATTATATGGATTTGTAAAACAAGTGAAATATTAATTTATTATTATATATTTTTAACGCTTAAACTAAAAAAACTAAGTATAATCAATAAAAATCAATAATAAAATATAGGCAGGCAACAGTATTTACAGGAAAATTCCACACCTGTAATTTTGAACCAATCAAAATACGTGTTTTTGACAAATCACCATGGCAACGGAGGTATTTTAGTGGAAATTTTTTTCTCGTGGGGTACCCAACAGCGAATTATACTGGAAATTTTTTGACGTTTACAATAACAGACCATTTTTGACAGACTGGTTTTTATTTGTTTACATAATAGGTTTAGTTTTGATACATTTTAGTTACAATGCTAAGGTGTTTTCTATATTCTTCGGCCACTTCTTTTCTTCTTAATGGCGAAAATGCAGGACTTTGGATGCTTTGAATTATGTGTCTATGTCTAATAAAATATATATAATATTTAGACACTAATTTATTCACCTTTTTCCCATTCAGCACTTTGAATTTTGCGTAGTTTAGGTGCAAATATTCGTGGACAATTCGGAACAAATTTTCGTTTTTCAAGTTGGAGCCACAATCCTCTATTAATCCGAGTAAGTAAGTCATGGTGCAATGATTGATCATTACATCAGACAATTTCACACATATTTTGCATAGCGTATGATTTTCAAATCGATTCATTTTTAAACAAATAGGTAATTTTGTTGGTTTTACTTGCTGTGCAATATTCTTTATCGCAACAAAACGCGAGTTATTTAATGTTTTGAACTGTCAAAATACAATGATCACAGCCTCCTACGATTGATGCTTGCTGACGCTGGTTATGAATTTCATACCATTTTAAAGCGCTCATAACGCATGTTAATAAAAACGCAGAAAAACAATTTTCTACCACTTGTAGTTATTCAAAACTTACGTAAAATTAAAGAATATACTATTTTCTATTTTCAAATGGTATTCCCATGCAACTACAATGAGTAGAAATAAGCAATTTGAAGGCCTAAATAATTGCAGCGAAACATTTTTTTACGTCGGGCCGCTTGACAACTTCAAAACTGAAATTATATTCGAGGTTAGGTTCTCACTTAGTTACCATGACAACTCAACAATCAAGGCGACAACACCTTTTATGTTTCACTGGTGACTTGGAGAAAATAATTTGCATTGTTGAGAAACGAAAAATAAATTTTAAAAATATTTAATTTTCAACCATAATTCGGCGTGGAATTTTCTTACCGAATACCACGCGAGGTCAAATTAATATCAGGAAATTTTTTGACCTCTAGTGGTATTACTAGTGAAAACATCAGGAAAATGTATGAGAAGTTGCCTAAGTCTAATAAGTTGCCTTTAAAGAATTAACCTATTCTGTCAAAATAAAAAAAAAATAAATAATAGCGTGAAGTTAAAATGTATAAACAGAGGGATTGTTATTTATATTTTCATTTTTGTTCAAAAGAAAACAGAATGAATGAATAAAACTGGTTTTCTATCAGTAAGCCACAAAATTGCATTCCAGCCACATACAATAATCAAAGGCAGAAATCTTGTTCTTGCGGAACATTTAAGATTAAAGGGATCTTGAAGAACATCGTAAAATAATAATTTATTGTTTATTTAAAACCTTTCAAGTTTCTGATGTCTACTGCTACTTCCAGTATTACTGTTATTATTACAAAAATAAAGGTAATTTTTCTTATTAATGTACAGATATCCATTTATTTCTTTGATTTAATTTCCACTTTACTACTATAACTTTTTATAATTTACACTGTTTTTGTTGCGAGTATTTTTACAATTTACAACACAGCAAGTCCTGTTGCTTATTGTATTGTTTTTACCTATTTTTTTCAAAAAAAAGTAAAATGTATACGTGTAGTTGATATGTCAAAATTACAAAATATCGCCCTAAAATGAACGAATTATCCGCAGCTAGCGCTAGTATCGTTTTTGCTTCTCCTACCATGACTTCGCACTGAGCGAATACGTGTAGAGCGAGTTATATGATACATTAAAAATTATAAAACTTGTAACAGTTATTATTTAACTTATAATTTTTAGTAGAAATATATGTACTCAGTTAAATTAAACCTACATAAGAAATTGTACGATTATCAACTTTACTGTCTCGTGTATAAAAACTTGTCAATGATATCGGAAAATGATGTGTATAGTGTATACGGATATATTTTGTAGGTAATAATAAAACAGTTAGAATTCCCTGTATATTTTAAAATCTTATGGTTACATATCTAATGTAATTAACTTACTCAAAAGTCACTAATGAAATGCAAGGTCTCGTTTCAATAATTTCAAAACATAATTATTTTTTTGGGGTTGGTGGGATATCTCACTCTGTATAAAGTATAAAAAGTACACATAGCTAAATCTTGTGACTTCAAAATTGTGAACAGGTAGAAATTTATTTAATAAAACAATTTCTCTGTGACACAGCTGTATTGTTATTTAGTGTTTTGTAAAAATATATTGTGATTTAAACATAAATCATCCTGTAACAAATATTTTAAACTGTCCCTTTTATGGACATGCATTGAAATTATTAATTTTCATTTTTCAATTAAAATGATTGTAGTTATTACTATTATTACTATTGTAATTACGCATTCATACTAAAAAATATCGTATGATGACACAATGCATAATTGCCTTTAAAGCATTCGCAACGTTAAAACCTCTCCGCTGCGCGTCGTGACCTTAAACTCGTTGCTCATGCTTTAAAGGCCCGATTATGTATTAGTGTTATAATATACTATTTAATTATAAGCATATATTATTAAAACATGTATTAAACGTGTGTATGCAACAGAAATTCAATCTAGCTCGTAAGTTGGAAAATAAAAATTCCGAAAAACTGGGCAATTTTCAACTTTAACAAGTACGATAATTATCGTATGTCTGGCTCTTACCGCTCACATGCTGCTTTATAATTTTATTAGGTGTGTGACATACGCAGCAAGGCCAAATTGCGTACACCTACACAATTATAGCGAAAGTAAAAGTTGGAAAGGCTTTTGGTAGGTAGAGAGAGGGTAAACGTCAAACCACGTCGGACGGCTTCGAACATTTTGCAGTAATGTTTACCTGCCAGTGTCGTTTCATAGAATAAGTAATTTTAAATTGTTATCGGCGGAACCGGACAATCGCATGTATTTATGGACTATAAATAATTATTAAACATATATTATAATATTCAAATCATAATTTTACAAAATTTCAACAGATATTCACAATTTATTAAACTATTTACTCGAAATTGTTATTAACATCTATAAAATAATTTTGTACGCCAATGTATCGCGTCCACTTCGGTGCAATCCGCCGCAAACCTGTCAATTTATGTGTATAAAGTGGGAGAACTGGCAAAAGTCTTTCCAACTTTTACTTCTGCTATACTGCCACAGTTACTGAATACGGGTCCGATGCATACTTCTCAGGAGGTCTACCGGTCAGGACATTGGAACGGCAATTGAAATACCCTCGAGCAGAATTTTTTTTTTCAATTTTACAATTTTTCTTTGATTTATTATCCCGCCCCCCGATCTCTATAATAATAACTAAAAATATCTACACTTGGATAACGTTACTAATAATATAAAAACATTGTTTAAGTAAACGATAGTAATAAAATATGTACTCACAATATTTCAAAAGAATCTTGAATATCAGGATCATCTAGATTTCTGTTAGCAAATAGATCCGGAGCCCTAGAGCGTAATGTAAAAAATAAATCGATGAGATTTTTTGCTACTTCTATGCTGTTGTTGCAGGCGATGTAGCATTTTGAAAGAAAAAATTCGGCTAGAAATAATATATAAAATACATCATTGTACTTGAAAAAAATTCTGGAAATTATTAAATTGTAAACTAAAAACAACGAGAAAGCAAATAAAAAAGAGTTGCATGCGACGCATAAGAAGAAGCAGTGCAAGCTGACACACAGTCTGTTGATTTCTTTAAAAATTCTCGTTTTTTGTATTTTTTGTTATTTTTTGGTTTTTTTGTTATTTTTTAAAACAAATTAATGAATCGATAATAAAATTAGGTATTTTCATTCCTCTGACTGCACTTGTTTTTTGATAAAATTAAAGCAACAATTTTTAGGATAAAAATAAAAAAAAATTATCAAGTAGCGTGGGGACGTGAAGAAATGAAAATCGTAAAAGTTATAAAAATTGTTCAAATTGTTTTCCATCCTGTTCTAAACATTTTTCTATCTTCGGACGATGGTATTTGTACAGGCTCTAGCAATTGATTGGAGCGATATCGAATGGAATTCTTGGCGTACTTTTTCTTGGCAATTGGCGTTAGTTAAAGGAATTTGATAGATATTTCCTTTAATATAGCCCCACATAAAAAATTAAGAGATGTGAGGTTTGGAGATCTTGGTGGCCAAAGAAAAGGGCTTCGATTGGCTATTCATCGATACCAAAAATTTTCATATAATAGACTATTTATTAAAAATTGACGGACGGGGCTTGTCCGGGTATCTTACAGCAAAAAATGATTTTTAAAAATCAAAACGCATACGCATACACTAGTTCGGTGTGATGTCATTTTGGTTCCACTGACATTTAATTCTAACCAAACTTTTAACAAAAATACCAATATATTTGACTTAAACGTTTTTAAATTTTAAATTTTTAAATTAACTTTTCTTGAAAATGATCTCTCTCTAAAATCTAAAACCGACCTGATGTCCCAAAATTTATTTTCCAATGCATCCTGATTTAAAATTCTGCATTTTTGTGATTCAATTTTTTTCTTCGTTTAAATGACAATCTTCTAATAGCTACTAGAGTGGCTATTAGAGGTAGGCGTATGTAAGAAATAGCCAATCTCTAATCAGTTCAAAAGTCCTTTGCCAATACTACATGTGCAGAGATTTTTTACTCAGCATTCATTTTACGTTTCTAGTAAGGGTGGGAACTTTATGCTGCCATTAAAGCTTCCAGACAATCATCTATCTACTTAATGAACAAAAGTAGCTGTAACAATGGATCTCTGTTCCAATTCACCTAAAATAATTAAAGCCATTTTGCAATATATTATTAATACACACATTATAGTGGTTTGCTTAATAAATTGGAAATTACTTACCTCTAGAAAGAAACGTGTACATAAACGCGAGTTTGGTTCCAGAAATTGCTTCATGCAAAAAATAATATGCGAAAATAAACATCCCCCCCCCAAAGAAAATTAATTAAACAACAAAATCAGACTCAAAAAAATAAACGGGGCCCAAATTAAATTAATTTTAATAAAATGCACACGTTCATAACATTGTCAGTTGTCAATTCTAATCTATAAGTCGACGTCAAAAAATCAGCAATATCAGCATTAAGTTACACGTCTCTGTCGTAACTGTCCAGCTATGGTTTGCTGGTACTACGCCGATACAACAATTATAGCGCGCATTTATTATTGTGACGAAAGTCTAATTTATTTAAAGTTTATTTATTTAAAAACACACTATTTACAATTTATTTCAGACGTACTATGTAATTTATATAATACTTAAAGACACTAAATAACAATTCTAATTTATTTCTTACACTTAAACTTTTCAATACAATGTTCTATATTCCACTAAACTCGGCGCTGATACGTCGGCTATTTATATTAGTCCAACTCCGCTACTGAAAATGCTAGAGGCTCTCGACGGTCGTCTCGAACATTCCATTCCTATGACTAAACGGCGCTCTCCGCCGTTCCAGCTGTTTCTCGAGCCTCAGCGGCATTCCCAGAACATTCCGTCGCCTCGAGCACGAGTCGGTTGCAATGTGAAGGTCGAACGTACACAGGGTAGGCTTTAAGAATTTCATAACATTATGATAGAGAAAACCCGTATTGTTTCTCTTCGTATTGTACAGATCCGGCTAGTCCGTAGTTAATTAAATTGTTCGCTTACAAACTTTATTATTACATTTATTTGTGTTTACTCTTTTATTGTTAATAAATTTAGGAGGAGTTAAATAAAATTACTGATTAAGTATATGGAAATACTAATTTGCAGATGACTCCTGCTACTTCGCAGGGAGGGCGGCGCCCCAGCGTTCTCCCCCACAAGCCGCCACTGTATATACGGTTTGTATAATCTAAGCAATCTTGGGTTTTGACGTCTTGACGCTAACTTTTAAGGCGCCTACTTGATAGAAAATATTACGTTTATCCTAAAAATTGTCAAGATATTTTAATATTCGTTTTTAAGATAAGTATACGGAAATAAACATGAATTTTATTTAGTTTTGGCCATAAAATATATTGAAATTTAAATGTTTTTTTCTCACTCTACACAATAAAAAATCTTTTAATGTCATGTAATATTTAAATAATATCTTCTTCATTAATTCAATTTAAAAACTGGATTTTTTTTATAAATACAATTATTAGCTTACAAAAAGTGACCCTAAAATTGCATAATCTATCGGAATTTGAAATGAAAATAGGACTGGGCCCATCCTATTTAAAATAAGAAAAGTAGACATCTACTTCCGGTATAAGCGGAAATCAAAGAACTGTCACAAAATGTTTTAAATGGATAGACTCTAACCTGTTTACTATTTTTTAGCAATTGTCAATAAAATCCGTTCATTGGACTTGTCAGATACAGATAGTGTCCCCATCGCTGAACTTATATAATTCACATACATTCTTGTTTTTTACAAATTTTAAAGACTATACTTACGAACATTTTTCGGCAAATGTGGTTGCTGCACTAACCACTCTTTTAACAAATTAACACTACTTGCAATTTTTTCCATATTTCTTAGTTTTCTATCAATTTAAAAAAAAAGAAATCTTATCGTCTTTATATACACTTATAAATGTGTAATTTTATTGACAGCTAAAAGAAAATTTTTAAATTAATTTATACCTACCTACAGTCTCTTATGTTTTAGATAAGACGTCAAAATTATTACAATAAATTCAATATCAAAGGTAAAAATTAACAGTGAATGATATTATCCAATCTGATAAAATATATACGAGGTAAATCACATAAATAACATTTTTAATTTTACATAATTTTTTAGAAGTACATATTTTCCATTTTTCTACATACAGTGAGGTCCATAAGATCCTAATGAATTCATTAATTTTCTGTTATATTATTGATTATCAAGAACAATATGTAATCCTGGATTGGTCGAGTTTTAAATAGCCATTATTTTGTTTGGCTTACAATGATAATTGGAAATTAATTGACAGTTGAGTTATATTCAGAAGTTTTCTCTAATTTGACAAAAGTTTGATAAAAGTTGTCATTCATCGTGGTTATAACGCAAAACTAACCTAATGTTTTCTATAGTTTATATATTTAAAGAATATGTACCTACTATATAGTTACCAGTAAAAACTTTGAATTTAAGAAACAATTGAAAATCAACTAGCACAATTATTTGATTTTTTTTTATAAAATATAAATACCATAACATTATAATATTACATTGTCTTTATCATTAAAATTACAATGTGCGAATCAAGATTATATAAATAATTAATCGATATCAAGTGTTTTAAAGTGCACTTGTAATTTGACTGTTTCCAAATAAACTTAGGAAATAAATAATCCTGTACTTATCTACCTATTTCGTTTTATTTACAAAAATAGTACATTATATACCTAGGGTGAGAAGTGAGCTATTATTTACTGAGCACTTTTATATCCTGAGGCGCGTAGCGCCTCAGGATATAATGTGCGAGGTAAATAATAGCTTTCTCAGCCGAGGTATATATAGAATTTTTTTTACTACTAACATTAATGTATTAGCAATTTTAATTTTGACATAAGTAATTTCCTAACAATTTGTTAAATATTTCAAAATATCAAGCAGACTGGAGCGTGTTTCTAATCAGACTGGCTTTATTTATGTAAAAATTTGGCATGTGTCAAATTTTGGTATGATTCTAGGAAATATCCCATTGCATTTTTGATATTTTAATGACATGGATTTATTGTTATTAATTAATAATTTTTAAAGCCGGTGTTGAATTTCCTAGTTAATATATATTTTTACTGTTTACACTGATATATATTATCATATTTGATTTGATTAGATTTGATAAACCCAGCTTTAGTTATTTCCTACTTATTTTTCAAATATTTCAAAACATCAAGTAGTCTGGGAGTTTAGTTGTCAAATTAACAAAATGAAACTAATGAAATTTAGTTTCATTATTTACCTAGGGAGAGAAATATTACTTCTCATTAGAGGAATGGAGTAAATAATGGTGATTTCTCATGTTAGTAGTAAAAAAAATTATTTTTATGAATAATGGCCATCTATGATGCGAGCTATTATTTGCTAGTAGAGTGCTATTATATAAACTATTTCAAAATTCCTGCGAAAGGTCAATGATTTTTTCTACATTCCTTGTAAATGACATTTAACAATGCACGTAATGAGATCTCATAACATACACGTGCGTTTTGATAAAAAAACTTACTTGGTTTAATCAAATTGCAATCAAATTTTTGACTACCTACTTGGTGTATTTACATAAATTTTGTCATTTAAAAAACATAAAAACTTTTACAATTAGCGAGATACATTTTGGATTAAAAGAGTGATGCCCCTAAATGTCGGTAACATATTATACAATATTTCAAAAAAATATGTCGCGTTTTCTTAGCATGCTATGGAAATAAACGTCATGCCATTTATATTAGGTATCAATTTTTTTAACAAAATATGATTGTATCCGAACATTTTCTCAACTTTACCTACGAATATGTTTGTTAGCAGAAGGTTAGCAGTGAAAGTGATGAAATTATGAGCACCACTGGAGATTTTAGAAAAAGCTCAAGCTGCCATACATAATTTGTTACCACTAAAATCCAAAGGAAGGTACGAAATTATCTATCGAAAATGTATGGATTGACGTCATAAGCATAACTTTAAAACCTTTTTAGAGAATGTTTTAAGTGGGGCGTAGAAAAAGTACACGAGTTGTAAACTTTTTCACTTCGTGCGTAATGGGTTACTTACAACTCTTGTTACATAATATACTATTTAACGCACATAAGCTTGTTTTTAGTATTGAGCCGCATGAACAGGTTCTCAAAAGTATTTGTTTAGGGTGATACATTTTTGAATGTTTTTAGAGAAAATATAGTTAGTTTTGCAATCTACAAATTTAAGAAACTCTTGTGAATAGTCAATTTATAAAAATATTTTACTTAGTGCTCGTATTTAGTGGCATATTTAGAGCTATGTTTCACAAATAACCTAACCTTAAATATAAATACTAACTGACCCACGTGCCATATTTGTGAATTGGGACTAATGGTGATGCTTCGGCCCCTAGGCAGGTGAATCATCCCCATATCTAATAATAATTATTATTTAAAAAATCTTTTATTTGATTTTGTAGATGCCTCGAAAGTATAAACGCAAAACTGACAAATAAATTGATGAACTGATGCTAAAAAAATGCAATACGCTCATATTTTACAAGAGAATGATTTGTATGCAGAAATTATTTCTCTCCATCGGCGATTAGGGCTGAATAGATCCCCTTGTGCCATCGTTGGTTCTATGGAAGAAACAAAAAACGGCACCGCGGAAGCCTCGCTCGAGGTGCAGTTGCTCTGGCCTAATTGCGATAGGAGAAGGAAGTTAGTTATATTTAAAGGATGATCAAATTTGAAATGTAATTTATGTTTTACTTTGTTTTTTATTTTTTTCTTTTTTCTTTTTTTTTTTTTTTTTGAGAAATCCAAAAAGTTTAATTCAATATCAAAACAAAACAATATCGCTTAAGCGTTTCTGCTGTGCAAACCTAGGCTCTACAGAACGTTTTTCAGAGAGCCAAAAATGGCACAATAGAACCTGCAAACCCTATAGGTCAATATGATGTTCAGTCCGAAAAGTTCAAAGTAGCTCAACAAGCGTACTCATGGTTAGAGAAAGACATGTGGCACTATAGTTCCAGAGGTAGGCTATGATGAGTGAACATGAATTTAGGAGAAAAAGGAGGAAAATTATAAAATGTGAAAGAGAAATTTAACCAGCTTCAACTTTCCGATTATTAATGATATAGCAATGGCGCAAGTTAATGATATTGAGGCTAGGCTTGCACAACCACAAAACGCTGGAACTACACGCAGTCAATCACTGTTTTGATTCAGTTATAATTTCCAAGGAATACCTAGATGTTCGTTAAAGCTTATATTTTTTACAATACTTTTGTTTCAATGTATACTTATCGAGAAAAACTTTTTTTGCTGGATTGAGGTTATACAACTTTTGTACTAAATATTATGCCAATACGCTCGTTTAGTGTGATGTCATTTTGGTTCCACTGACATTTAATTCTAACCAAACTTTTAACAAAAATATCAATTTTGACATATACGTTTTTACTGTTTTTAGTTTATTTCTAAAAAATCATAAAATCATAAAAAAATAGTTTAAAGGAATGTAATTGGTAACTGAACGATTGTATATTTGATACATGTTATCTACTTACTTTAGGAATATATTTATAAAAGTGTAAAAACGATATAATTTAGGTAAACAAAACGAACTCAAAAATCTAGTGTTACTTTATCACTGGAACCATAATTACATCATCACTAAACTAGCGTATATACTAATTTATACATAGGCCGAATCCTCCCTCGGTGCTGGCCGAACACCTCCGGTTGTGGAGGATTCGGCCAAATTGTTGACATTTCTATATTTATTGAGCACAATCCTGGAAATAAGTTTATGTCACTATTTTGGCTTTTAATAGTCCTTAGAAATGTCTAAAGATTATGTAGCAAAACAAACTCTAAAAATTTTACGAGAAATATGGGTTTTACGAGTTTATTTCTACTAACTGGCCGAATCATCCACCCTCTCCCCTACTTTATCCAAGACTATTAAATATTTTTTCCAAATTTTTAACTTAGTAAAATTTAAACTTAAATCAAAACAAAAACCAATATTGTTTCTTTATTATTAATTTAAAAATATAACATAGAAACATTAATCAATACTAAGCGACTTAAATGACCCTTGAATACCAAAATATTGCGAAACATTGACTTTATCATCGGTAGCTATTCTTTTAGATTCGTCTACATTCCAGTAATCTTCATCCAACACATAATCTCGCCATTTTAACACCAGTTCGACCCATTTCTTGTTTAAATCATTGCATCTTCCTACAGTACCGCCATATTCTTCTGGAAGTAAGTCTCTGGGGATGTAGTCGAACAACGTATCAGAATTTGGAAGGTGGAAATGCACCTAAAATATTAATTGCACTGCTTACAAATAATGAGCATTTGAATTTAATTCTAAACGATACAATAAAATGATTATTTGTTACGAAAAGTTAAAAGATTTAATTATCGAACGTTTTTGATGAAAATATCGATCAGCCAGACAAAAATTTTAAAGTTTAATAAAATCAGTGACGGATTAAGGCCTATGACCCCAGTATAGGTATTCAATCAGTATTGACACTCGGGCGGGAAAAAGTATAATTTATAACCACCGTAACTTAATTTAACTTAAGATTTAGACAACCTAGTAGACGTTTCATTGGAGGCAATCCTGTCGCGACCATAGACATCATATTATCTAAGATAGACTCGCCCTTCACACTGTATACCCAATACACCTTCTGTCCGCATGTTATACCAGACGGGGAAAGGGGAATCGTACGTCGCACATAGACGTAGTGTTTCGGGAGGGTTTAGATATATTTTTTACTAAAAATTATTTAATGATCAAATCAACAACCTATGGGTCTTCGGAATCAAAGATAAATTTAAAGAAAACATATTCAGTTTATACAGGGCATTCAAAAAGTCATTTTATATATTTTCTTATAGATTAAAATAGTAGGTAGGTCAAAGTGGAAGAACATTTTTGTTAGTATTTTATTATATATTATCTTTCTTTTTTTAAATACATGAAGAGCAAGTAAAAATATAGCGCCATTTATTATTATTTTTACATGGTTATTGTCAGAAATCCTGTTCTACAGGTCGAAAAAAAAAATAATTATATAGCGGACTACCTTTTTTTATGAAATAAAAAACTTATTAAAAACAGTAAAACAATTTTATTTTAGATATATAAATATACAAATAGAATCTTTCCATTAATGATATAATAACTCATTTAGGAGAGTAATCAGCAATGATTTTATAATATCTGAACAAGGCTTAAATACATTAGCTTAAGATTTTTTTTTTTAAGAGAAACTTTATTTCTAATTTGTCCGAATAGAAAAAAACTGAAGGAAGCTTCTTTTGTGACATTTCGAATGTCATTTTACTATCAATGGTTACTCCTACAAACTCTTAATGAAGAACCTGCTCAATAGATTTATTTATTGTGATAACTGATATTTTGTAAAGCATATTTAGGCATAAAAGGCAAAATAGCTATTTGTGTATTAAGAACAGAAAGTAGCACATTTGGCAGTTGAGACAAAAAGTTGCCGAGCGACGCGTTAGCGGAGCATGGCAATCTGTCGAAGCGAAAAGTTTTTAGTACATATGCGTCGGTAATTATTTACAGAACATACTGTTAAATGATTTAAAATATTAGGAAGTCAATTTAATATTTTCGATTAACTTATATATTGTTTTAAAATATCAATTAGCTTTCATTTATTTCATTCAAATGAAAACAGACGAGCGTGTGCCAAAGTTACTTTGGTGCACGTTTGCGCCAATAATGTCAAATTATGACAGTTCGCGAAAAACGTCAACTTTCTAATTAGATTTGAATGTGCAAAAGCCTACTTTGGATAGTGATCGTAGAAATTTTTTTTAGGGAATAATTACTATGCTATTGTCCCAACAATAACCTGTGAATCTTTTGACTATCTATTTTCTTTTGTTCAATGCAGTTACTATAAACTATTGTCTTTAATGATAAAATTAGTATCGTCTGGAGACAATATACTGTTAGTATATGGACATGTATTAAAATATTTGACATAAAGAATAAGAATAAGTGCATTTTATGGAACCAGTTATTTAAAAATAGATAAAAAATTATAAAAATTTAATTAAAATTAAAAATTACTGATTCTGAAATAAAATGCTTTTTAGGTACATAAAAGATTTGAATATCTAAAATATTTTATATTTAATTCAGCATTGACTTAAGCAGTGATAATTTTCTTAAATAAGTTATTTACATCAAAAATAATCCAATAATTTATATAATATATACAATTACAATGTTACCTTTTAGGAAATGATGATCCAGATACATTGTTCTTTAAAAAACTAGAAAATAATTATATATAACTGTATGCTTCTCTCAATATAAATTATTAAGTTACCTTACTGGTAACAGTCTTTTTTTTAAAATGTGATGATTTCCGTATAATTTTAGAGCTTACATATTATAAAAATACCCATAATAAATATTGTACTTACTAATAGGTATAGAATTATGTTTTAAAATGTGTCTACCACTTAACTTTTCATAAATATCTGCCATACAAAAATGGTCAGAACATACTAAGGCTTCTTTCATTTTGCAGCCAAATTCTACGTCGAATTATTTCTCTAGGAAACCTGATCAGAAAATATAGAACATTATTATTTAAATAAACAATACAAGTGCTAAATGCACTGTTCAATAAATTAAGCCTTATTCCCTGTATATGCCTACGTCTATGCTAACATAATCTTACTTATAAAATCACCGAATAACATTCTTATTCTGCGTATTTCAACACGCTATACATTTCCTCTCCATCGTAAAAGTCCTTATTAAAAAGTTCAGGGTTTAAATTATTCTTGAAAACTACAAAAAAACACAATAAAACTTGATCTGTCACTTTGACAACACCAGCAAAATATCTTAGGTTGCCAAACTTAAAGGATATATACCAGAATATTTAATATTCCCATATGATACACATGTAAAAATAGCTAAATAAAAGTATTAAGTGATTGCAATTAATAAAAAACTCATATTGATGCTTTCAATTCTTTATTTCCTTTTTTATTAGATTGTATAAAAGGGAATAGTAACTTTTTTAATAAAAATTTAATGTTTAATATTTAAAAAAAGAGATCTGACAACATAGGAAGAGCGTACCGTCAAAAAAAAAGTTGCGGACAAGTGTAATGTATACAAGGCGTATCTATTATCCGATATCTTTGGTCGCGACATATGTTAGAACAAGTACAGAACTTCATCAAAATGTCCATTCTCCTTCAAGATCATTTGTATTGAGATTGTTCTACTAGGCTCTTTAAAAACAATATTTCTACTATAATACCTACTAAACTAGCATCACTGGGCGGCAAAATTCAAAATATTACCTGACACATTTTGCAGGGGGGGGGTTACGTCTGCTAGACACTTTCAAGATGTCGGAAAACGTCTGAATCGTATAGAATATTTTTTGACTGGTCATTGCTCAGAAAATGTTTAGGAAACTCCGCGTACTTGTAAAGCCCAATCAAATATCTGCGTAGTTGTACACCAGAACTGATAGGCGTTATATTAATGAACAACTCTTAAATATAGTTATTTATGTTTATACCATATTGAATTTAATATTTTGGTACTTACCATTTTCAAAACATCTTTTTTAATAATAGGTTTCAAGAGCGATAAAAATCTATCAAAAAATGGTGGCGCATTTACATAATGTACTTGTTTTAATTTCATTGGATGTGCTTCCTAAAAAAAATAGATTTAAAATAGTTTAGTCCTCTAGACCAGAGATGATCCTGCAACTATCTGTGAAATCTACACCACTGACTTAATATTTAGATCAAATTTGACCTGCCTCCGAATAAGTAGAAATTTTCTTCATTAAAGGAAACACAATTTTCGTTAAATGTTTTAACGTGAAATTTTTCATATCAAAAATTGGTATTTCTCCATCGGCTATGGTATTTTCTTCGACCATTCTAACGTCAGCAACGATCGAAAAGGCTTTGGCACCGTTTACAAAGTCGTATTTATCTACGTCATTGGTTAATAATCGATACATAAAAATTTGGTAGTTTTCTTTGGTGAATTTTGGTAAAGGAAGAAACTGACTAAAAAAAAAACATTTTAATAGCTTAAATCACAAATAATCTATGTAATGTGAAACCTTAAAGATGGATACGTCGTTATAATGAATGTTCAATAGAGTTTGGCGATGTTCGAATTACATAACACGTAAACTCACGCAAAGATTAATGGTTATTTAACGAACAAGTGTATTAATAAGGGCGATTAACAATCGAAATAATTTAACGCGCGAGCAGAGCGAGCGCGTTAATATTCGAGATTGTTAATCGCCATTTTAATTCACGAGTTCGTTACAGAATTTTTTCGTCGATCGTACTTTTCAAAAATAAAGAAATTAAATAATGATATTCAATGACAGTATTAACAAACCTTGATTTCAAATGTATATGTATATGTTTGGTTACCTACACCATATTTAACTGTCAATATAAATGTATAATAATAGCAATGTACGTTGGGTTGCATATAATAAAATCGTTGATTAATAGAAAATCATTCATTAATAGGGGTCATTAATTAACGATTTTGAGTGCGTTAAAATACAGGGCGGAGGTAATTTGCCCACAAAATATTTAAAGCTGCTAATCCTATAGGTAATTTGCCCACAGCAAGTAAAAGGTCATCTTAATCCTGTTGGTATTTTGCCCAAATTTATTTCTAACTGAATAAATCATAATAAATATATCTTTCATTTATTATTTTTTATATATTATCGAAAAGTAAAAACACATTATTAATTAAACTAAAAATTATATTAAACACTAATTTTTATTATTATAAAAAAGTAAGTATACATAAGTTATATTATATTTTTTATATATTTATATTTTATTTACATATTTTTCAACTGGGAGGGATAAATGTGATACAAATTTTATATACTCTAATCTGCTGATTTGCTGCAGATCAAATCGCTGTATAAATTTTTCTAAACACTGAATTTTTTGTTTTACACTTTTGTCTTTGATTTTCTTAGGTATACTTAAGCTTTGTATTGTGACATACGTGTCGATTTGAAAGTCTTTAAGCTTTTCTATAAAAATATATACAGAAAGATGTGTACAGTAGAATGAAGAATTAAACCTTGAATGAAACGACTCACAGGCATTTGTAGTTCTTGTAATTGAAGCTGTTTTTTCTGCCCATATACTTGGAGGAAATGTAGAATTTTCTTCAATATATGTTTCTAATAGGTAATCGGCATACCTATCGAGAACGGCATTTTCTGGTTTACTTGCCATTAAGTCAAACACAAAACAGTCTCCAACTTCATCGGCGTTTAAATATGTCAACCCAAATGATGTTTTAAGCCATTTTCCGGTATCACTGTTAATTGTATATTCAGTCATTAATCCCAGCGACTGAATTTTACGATACCACGCTTGATGTAGATGAAATCGGCAGCCATTGATTACAGTATTAGGCCACATATAAATTAACGCCTTATGAATTGCTATTTCAAAATCAACGAACACTTTAGATGGATTTAAAACAATACTGTAAGTTTCCAAAATTTTATAATGCAATAACGAAAACAAATGTTTGTATATATCGGTAGATTTGTTTGGTAATAAACAATATACCAGGGGCACATAGTGTCCATTACACAGCCCATGAATGGTAAATAATTGTAGGAAAAACTTTGTACAATACGAAAATGTTCCATCCATATACAAGACGTTCATTTTACACAAAGTACGAATATTTGTCTCACATGTAAATACAATAATATTATTTTCTCTGCTATTTATTAAAAGAAAATGTTCACCTTTACTGGTTTTAAATGTATTAGAATATAAGTCAACTGCATCATGCACTTCTTGTATATTTGTAGGTAATGGACCTGGTAGTATTTTGCGACGACTGTTGTATATAGTTTTTCTTATGTAGGACACATCAATTGTAGTTAGTGACTCTGGTAAATTAGTAGCAAGTACTTTACGGATAATTTTAGAAGGTTTTTCCGAAATATCATCAACTGCTTTTCGCTTACACGAATTAGAAATAATTTTCCTGTTTAATTTCGGTTCATTTGCTTCATGGCTATGAATTAGGTTGCCTCTGGATACTAAAAGTTCAGGACCAATTGTAAATACAGTGGCATTACAAGCATTTGTTTTTCTTTGGGAGCATCTCCAAGAAACTTCTCCACTTTTCATTTCTCTATCTTTGGCAAACGTAAAATTCTCCAAAAGGAGTACATCTTTCCCGCGTGTGCTTTTAATCAATGTAGCTGACATTATAGAAATAATTATTGTTTATAAACACTCGAATTACAATCATCAACGTATAAAAACTGACTGAAATATAAACAGTAAACACCCAAAGTAAGTACCTATTAGAATTATTAATAATCAGGTAGGTACCTATTTGTGGGCGGATGTAATTTGCGGGTTTAGGTACCTGAATGCTACTGTGGGCAAAATACCAGTAAGATTAACGCACCCCTTTACTTACACAGGTAGAAAACAGAGATTTGTGGGCAAAAAGGACCAGCCGAAAATACATTATAAATGGTCGGTCAACGGAAAAATAATTAAATCACCATCAATCATATAAAACTGATCAATTCACATTCAAGAACGCCCACCTTTAACAATCAAAATTGAGTCCAATCTTTAGACTTTGGTCAACGACCGCAGCCGCTCTCTGCCGGCAAATAACAGTTAAAACACAAAGCCAATAATATTCAATACCAGCAAAGAACTAATGAAAAAAGAAAGCTTTTACGAGCATAAAAAGATTTTAACAAAGCCGCGGCTTCACTGCATCTAAGTCCTTCTTTGACAATGGGTGCTATGATTGAACGTTTACGTTATCCGTAACGTACATGTTAGGCCGAGTTTTTTTAACAGTAATGAGGCAAGTTCGTATGATGGAAAACTTTTTCCAACTCGTTACTGTTATTTTCCGCCTGTTATCTTCTAATTTAACAGTTTTCCATCATCTGAACTTGCCTCGTTACTTTTAAAATTCGGCCTAACATGTACGTTACGGATAACGTAAACGTTCAATCATAGCACCCAATGTCTTAGCAGTTTTGCTCAGCCATTTTATATGTAACATAAAAATTTTTTAACCCTCCGGCAGGTGCGCCGGCGGCAAAGTGACGCATTTTTAACTCTATATCTAATATTACTGTTGACCTTAGAACTGCAGCTGTGGCTTTGCCTATTTGTCAAGTATACAGTTTAGAACCATCCTTGGTATATTTTCTATAAAGATCGCTTACTTTTTTGAATTTTGAACGTAAAAGAGAGAAGATGTGATTTTCTGAAAAAAACTCGCCATGATACTTATGGAGGATCATTTAAAAGACACTCACTTGTGTCACTACCAAAAGATATTTTAACCTTTTTAATAAAATATAAAAACAGCCATGTACTCGTTCAGGATCCACTAAAATCTTGAATGTGTTACATATGTGGGAAACATAAGAACAATAGAATAAAAATGTTTTGTTTGAAATGCAACAGTAACGTCTGCAAAAAGCATAAATGTTGAATGTTTTCACTGTCAAAATCTCCAGACAATTGAAAGAAAACTAGTAACTATTATATTTTTGTATTTATAATTTAACTAGTTCAATTAATTTATTTTTCTTTTATTTTTAATATTATGTATTGCATTACTTTAGTTAAGTTTATTTTAGTAGCTATGTTAGTTTTGTAAAATAAGTTTAGTTCTGTATTTAATTAATAAAAGCCTTTCTCCTAAATACAATTAGTTATATTTTAATTTCAAGCAAAATAAAGGTAAATCTCCAAATGCGGTGTAAATGCCGCGGCGCGCCCGGTCTTGACCGTCTGATTAGCGCGCCCTAAAGCGATCAACGCCTTAAAAATGGCTGGATCTTTAAATTCATTAACTATTAATTAACTTTTATAGAAAAATTTGAAACATTTGCAAAAGTTTTACCCTATAGGAACAAATGTTCTGGTCACAAGGTAAATAAAAATTATTTTCTTGTGGTTTAACACTTTTATTAAATTATATAATCTTTATAGACCGTCAGATAGTGACTGATTTAGGTGCCTCATTTTCGCATACAAGCCTCGAAGAAGGTTGAAAAGTACATCGATTTTGAGTAGAATGAAAGAAAATAGAGGATAACATATGGAAAATTCGATTTTCCTTAACAGAAATAAAAGGTGTTTTTTGCTAATTTTTCCACGCAAGCCGTTTTCACTATATGATTAATTAATAAAACTAGGCTTCGAAAAACCAAAAGCTTTAATGTTGCAAGTGGCTAAAGGGTTGAAATAAGGGCGTAATCTTGTAAAGAAAAATCGATATTTTAACCGATTTTTCCACACAAGCCAATCGGGAGTATGAAAATATACATCGTAACTAGCCCGAAAAACATATTGGCTTGAGTGGCGCGAGTGGATAAGTCCATTTTAAGGTTGGAAAATTTAACAGAATTTTTTTTCGATTTTTCAGTTATTTTCCCGCCAACGAAATTTTTTGCAATAAAAACTTATGAATTTAAGAGACCAGAAAAAAATAATGGCTTGAGTGCAGAGCGTGGTCTTCATATTTTCAGAACATAGGAAAGTTGCTGGAAAAATGTATGCAAACTGCCATAATTTTCCCACACAACCCGTTTGACATATGCTTAGAAAAAGTGATTCTAAGACTATATAACAAAAGGCCTGAGTGTCGAATATGGCCATCATATTATTTATATCTTTATAATTTATTTAACAAAAAGCTGACAAGAAAATCTAGAAATTTCCACCATTTTCTCACGCAAGCCGTTTGTCATATGCTTAGAAAAAGTAATTCTAAAACGATATATAAGTATCGGACATGGAGCATATTATTTATCTAAAAAAGAACTGACAAAAAAAATTTACAAACAAATATTTATGCAGGGTTATTGTTATTTATTGTTCAGTGATTATTCGTATAGTAAATTTTAATATGAATTTAGTGCTGATTAACAATATGTTTATTTTATAGAAAAATTTATATATTCTTTCAAAGGGCTATTAAATATAAACTTTAAAATACCTGTTAAGGGTCGATCTTTTAACCTCTGAGTAAAGTTACATGTAGGTTTACTTGACAGATCAACAAACATTATTCCTATAGTTTAATCAGCAAGTACTTACTTTCAACTTTATCAGAGGTGAAAAGACTTGGCCCTATTAACAGATTCGTTACAAATGGCCCATTTTTGAATTTTTATAAAATTAATGTATGTATAAAATAAAAATGCAGCTACTAAACATGAAAAAGTAGATATCCTAGAATTTAATGATGAGAATCAATTTATTTTATTTATGCAGTATTTTTTTTCTTCGAAATATCAAAGAAAAAACTTATTAATAAATTCAAGTTTTTTCTTTGATATTAAGTTACACTTTTTGAGCGTGGTGACCGATAAGAAAACAATTTTTTTCCTTTTATTGAATAAATGAGAAGTTAATATTGTTTAAAATATTTTTATTATCTTACAATACATGTAGGTTATTCAGGAATTTTTTTTAATATGGTAAAAGGCCTGCAATTACCCGTTAATTTCACATCAATATGCCATTAGTTAGCACATGTATTTATTTCTAAACATTAAAGGAAAAATGGAGGCCCATTAACTGGATTTGACAGCTAAGTTACTTCGGCCTAACTGTCGGCCGTAGTGAACTATATATGCCGGCCTTTTAATTATAAAAGTTAAATGTCCATCATTACAATTGGATGGTAACAGTTAGTTATTGGGCCTTTTATTCCTCTGCACAAAATGTTTGGTGGGGACGGTTACAGAAAAAAACCTTTGGCATTATAACTAATTTTTACTTACATATTTGTAAAGGCTTCCTTTATTTCCGGACTATTGGGATCTCTATGTGAATATACTTCCGGGATTTGGGATCGTAGCGTATAAAATAAATCTATCAATTTTTTTGCTCGTTCTATACTATCATTACTGCAATGTAAAAACCTTTTTATCAAGTTTACATCTAAAATAAAACATAAACTATTATAGTATATTTCTTTACGAGTGTGGAAAGTGACATTTTTCGCACGAGGCATAAGCCGAGTGCGACAATCCCACGAGGATGAAAAATCACTTTCACACAAGTGATGTACAATATTTTTCCTACGACCACAAAAAAAAATTATCAAAAAAATGTAAAACCAGGAAATCTGGCTATAAAGATTCAATCAAAATGTGGTAAATACAACAAATAATAAAATGAACAACCGGGAACAAGAACTTTTTTATTATTAAAGATATAAATAAATAACAATAGCTGTATTTTTTTAATTCTATTATTTTTAAAAAAAAATGACTGCTTCCATTAGAGGAATTGAACTCGCGTCGCGATATGGTCGAAATATGCAAAGTTGATAAAGTTGAGCGCTCTGTGAACTAAACTAACAAGCTTGTCACATGAATTTACTAATCTAATACATTAACAAAAGAACAAAACTAAAAATAATGTTACTTTAAAATTATTTTAATAATTTGTTAAAAATAAATATCTGGAATCTAGGTATAAAAATCAATATTCACGATTTAATCAATAAATCTATTTTACTATTAATATGGACATTACGTAGAACAAAATAGAAATTACGCGTTTGACATATTTGGCAGACGTGCAGAAAGTAGATATTCACACATGGGTTAAAAGATTCTTATTCACACGCGTGTGATATAGGGCACTTTTCGTAAAAATAAATAGTGAGATATGTGTCACTTTCCTAAGTGGTCGTAGGAAATAGCTATTTTTTCTACGATCACACGATATTAAAAGTTTTATTTTGCTGAATTCAAATCTTACTACGTTAATTTGACAGACACGGCTAACTTGACTACCAAACGAAAAATATTTTGTGTATATTTTGTTGCCTGCTTACTCTAGAATTAATTTTATGATACGCATAAAAAATATTTGTTAGTGAATCAAATTTAAAAAAAAAAAAAAATAACTAGTGGGGATTGAACTCACGACCACCAGGTTCAAATACAAACGCGCTAGGCTCTACACCAATAAGACATGTTAAAAACAGGGTAATTTATTTTTAATATTTTAATTATCATTTAAATATTAAGGAAAATGAATTTGAGTATTAAAAGTTCAACTAAACGATTCAGATTAGTCTACATTTTCTTTTAAAATACCCGATTAGCTTTATAATAACAACCTTTCTAATGAAAATGAGCGTGTGCAAAAAGTAACTTTCCGCCTATATACGGCAATAATTTCAGACTATGAGAATTCATGGAAAACGTCAACTTTCCAGTTAGATTTGAATGTGCAAGAGTCTACTTTGGATAGTGATCGTAAAAAAAATATTAATACGTAGTTCAAAAAATCGCTATGTACAGTTCATATCGTCAAGATTTCACCAACTGATAGTGTATCGAAAAATAAAACTAGGTAGGTACTTTGTCCAATGAACTATGATACAATTTTGCTTTCTTTTTTATGTACAGGGTTCAGGTATTCAGATGCGTGCAAAATTGTTAGTTTTTCCTCAAAAACAAAATCAGATACGAAACAAATTTAGATGACAACAAAAGTTGTATTTTTAGTTAGTTTATTTAACAAAAATATGACAAATTCAAAAATAAACGAGCGATATTTTTTGTGCCGAAAACTAAACTAACCCTGGTGAGCATGCAGAATGTCTGAAAAGTTGGCAACAAATGGCAAATTCATTTATTATTAATTTTACAAAAAATTATACATATAAAAAAATCAAGAATCAAATTTATAAAATATTTAGTGGTAATAAAGGGAAACAAAAAATATATATTCATTTATGCTGAAGATTTAATTACAGAACAAAATGTCGTTTGAACTATTTGATAGGGAATAATACATTTTAGAGTAAATAAAAAACATAAATTTTACCTGTAAACCTACCACTAAATATTTTACAAATTTTATTCTTGAATACTGATTCCTAAGTGATGCAGAACTTTTTATAAAGACGCATCTGTACTCTCTAATGGAACAGACTCTCTGCGAATTCGAAAAATTACTTACATATTCTATCACACCCTGTAGATAATATACTTAATAGGTGCAGGTACTTACGATTTTTTTTAGGAAGATGAGGCTGCTTAGCGATCCACTCTCTCAATATTCGTACTTTCTCTGCATTTTCTTCCATTTTTATTTTGGAACCTCGAGGTGCCGCAATATTTCGACTCTTAAATTCTAAACTTCTTCGCGGTCAAAACTGCTACGTTACAAAGAATAACATTATTATAGGTACTAAATGCATCGTATGAATTTCTTTTGCCCTAGATACACTCTCACCAGTAGGGACTTTCTAAAATGCTTTTTAGCGGTTCAGTGATTCATTACCTACATTCAATTTTTGCTACTAACTTTTACCATAATCTTTTTATTTCATCGTATTCATCGCTTAGACGTGAAATTGAATATCTACATAAGTACCGTGGAAGATAAATGGTTTGGAAGGAGAAGGTTGTTGATTCGATAAAAACATATATTTTTTTAAGTAGTTATGTAGCAAAATTAGATTAGAATGATACCTAAACAGATCGAGTTACGGTTTTTCGGACTTTAATGTCACCAGATACCAACGCGATATGCATTATGCGATAGGACTCCTCCATATATCTTGAAAAATATTGAATGTAACTTTTGAGCTTTTATTTTTTATGACATTTGAGAAGTTTGATTCCCCTTCTTCATTTAATATTTTCTTTTCTGATGTTTCATTCACCTACCATAAAGACATGAGATAACCATGTCTCATGTATACTCTAAATCAAAAATTGTATTTGTTGCTCTTCTAAAATGTACTGAGCATTATTGACAGCAGCGTCAACTAACTTATGAACTAAGGGACGATTTTTTCGTATACTGACAATACAATAGAGAGAAAATTACTATTACCTGGCAAAAAGGTAAACGCAGCAATATAGAGCATTTTTTCTAGTACCTGGCACTATTTTTGTCAAACTTGGCAAGGGTAAAGTACCCCTTGCGAGACAATGTAGGAAAAATTGATGTCATCTTGCAGAAATATGTATATTGGAATGGATAGATATTATGTTTACGAAGTCTCAATAATCTAGTTCGTTTTTTCTAGAACATGGTATACAGTTTTTTGTCAAAATTGACGAGGGATTGGATGAAATTGGGGCTATCTGGCAAAAAAGGTATTGGGGTAAATATTACATGTCCAAATTATTAACTCCTTAAGTATTACTCGTTTAGATGCTCATTTATTACCTGGCAGCAGTGGCGGTTTGCCCGTAAGGGCACTTGGGCACGTGCCCTAGTATAATTAAAAAAAAAAAAAAAATAACTTACATATTTTATATTTTCCTCAATGCCTATTATTATTTTATCTAATATTCAGCGCAAACCGCGTTGGCACGACACTGGATAACCGGGCGTTGAGCGACGTTCCGAGAATTCCGAAATTAAGTGGAAGATGGGCACAGTAAATGTGTGCCTCTGTTGTTTTCTCTCTCATTATGATGCGAAAAACAAGGACAACGACAATATCGCTTAGCAAGAGATGAACACATGCGATGGATTATAGTCACAAGCGGGGCGCTGTCCTCATCGTGACGTGCTCTACCCATGGCACAGATGATTACCTAGACCAGATACGAATGTAAGCAGCGGCATTTTTACCGGCTCCCTCACAAAGGTGATGCCGGTTTCGGCTTAAGGTGCGCGTTTGTTGGACCATGATAATAATTTATTTATTGTGATTACGAAAAAACGTTAGTTGGACCATTGGAATAGTTAAGAAATAAAACTACAAAGAAAAATAACTTTTTTTATAAAGCTGTCAAAAATATGATGAAAAAAATTAATAATATTTATAAATTGGACAAAATTTTAATTTTTCTTTTGTTGTTGTCTGACTTTTTCGATGATTTCAAATCTCTGTTTGTATATTTAAGAGTATAAAAAATTCTTATAAATAATTTAATGGTGTACATTTTCGCAAATTGTTGGCAATGATTACCAAATTCTATTTTGCTCATCTCAAAAAGGTATGCGTTGGAAATTCCAGGCTTAGTTGACAAACTATCAAGTAGAGATATAAATATTTTTTCTAATTTGAAAATATAAAAGAGAAATTTTTCTCTGGGAGATTTTAAATTGCCAAACACCTTTTCTTCAGAGTCGTATGCTTTAAAATGCGTTAACAAGTTAGAATTGTTAAGTAAATTGCATTCTTCTGAGAAATTTACGCAAATTTCGCAAGAGTGGATATGTAATGATTTTTTGATTAAATAGAATATGTAATGATTTTTTGATTAAATAGACACATACATAGTTAAAGGCATTTTGAGTGGTCACATTTAGCTCCCTGTAGTCACATTCAGCAATCGTTTATTGCCCCAACTGATTGTTTTGAAATATATTTAATTTTCATTAAGCGGAGAACTTGTTTTCCTAAGGGAAAAAAGAATCCCGGGATTCCTTTCCAGTGTGTGACCCACTGCCGCTAGGCCCATAAGCCGCCACTGCCTGGCAGCCGTCAAATTCCAATCCGTAAATTAGTCATACCCATGGACGAGGGGGGTGCAAGACGGTGCACGTGTACCCCCGAGCTTTTAAGAGGAGAAATCAGTAGTCAATAAAATTAAATACAGTTGCCAAACGTAATAGATTGAAAAAAAACTATCACCGATACTTCAGACTTATATATTCTGAAATATTCTGTCGGCGCCTATGGGCATACCCTTGTTTACTAGTGCTGCGTTTGAATATCCACATCAGCATCAGATGTATTTTATACATCTCAACTCAAGCATTTGTTTATCCACATCAGACACATCTACGACATCTTCATCTGCATTTGTTTATCCAAGATGTACATAGGTAGCTATTCAAATATTACATTTTTTACATCTCGATTTGAATATGAGATGTGAATAAGATATTCGTTCCACGCCAGAAAGTAGGAGTTTTGTGAAGAGTGTGAAGACAAATTTATCAATTTTACCATTTATATTTATTACATTCTCAGCTTGAGTTCACTTAGGGCGGATGTCACAAAATACAAAATGTTCAGGAAAGCAACATCGAGTGCACTTAAGCTACAAGTGAAGTGACAATAAGCGACGTAGTACGTAGTTGTTCATCGTTGCAAAAGACTAGTTAATTGTGTAGTATATACTGGGCTAGTATTCTTTTTATAATTCTATCGACTTATTCAGCTATTAGTGCAATACATATATAGTATAATTCAGAGCTGGGTAATTACACGTACTTTAAAAATAATTACAAAAGTACTTTTTCAAAAAAGGAATTAATTACAAGTACAGAGTACCTACGCGTTGTAAAAATAGGAATATTTCCTTAGTTTATAGTGTTTATGTAACATAAATTATGTTTATAATAATATAATACGTCTTAAAAATAAGAGCATCAATATATATTCTTGCTTCTTATACTGTTATTATTTTGTGTTCAACAATTTCACTACTTCACTGATGAGGCTCTTGCACAGCACAGCGCTTTCGTTAAATGCATTCAAACAAATGAGATGGATATGGATGCGAGTCCGAGATCTAGTGACTGGTTCAAACAGGAAATTTGTTGTTTTTATACCACTTGCATCTCGTAAACACGCATTTAAAAGTAATTGTAATTAAAAACTGTAATTGTACTTATACATGTAATTGTAATTGAAAAAATTAATTATAATTGGAAAAGTAATTGTACTTATGAGAAGTAATTGTATTTAGACAAATAAAAAATATATAATTACAAAATACAATTCCTCCACAGATTTTGCTGCAATTACAATTCCAAATTACTTTAAAAAAAAGTACTTAAATACAATTACAAATTACATGAAAAAAGTAAATATAATTATTAATTACTTTTTAGCTACGAATTACCCATCAGCTCTGTAATATATAGGTATTAGGTATTGAAATTACCAAGTTAAAAGTATTTGCTAATAATTGGACGTCCGCACTAAGTGAACTCAAGCAGAGATATATCCATACCTGTTTACTTTCCTCAGTTATTCCGAGAAATTTATAAATCATAAATATTTATTTACGGGTATAGGAATTACAGTTCGAAATAGTGGGGATTCCGAAATCATTAATTACGCATGAGTCAATTAAGAGAATGTTATCTAATGGAACCCTAAATCCGTCTCAGTTTCTTGGTTTCTTCTCTAGGTAGTGGTTGGTTCGTTGGTTGTAAAGAAAGTCGTCTCTAGACAGCACGAGTTTTGTTGGTTAGATAACCAAATTAACAATGTGGTGTAAATAGTGTTGCATACTTTTTAGTAGGATTTCTAGTGAAATGTAGTGATTTATATTTTTTAATATTGATAGCAATGTTAAGTTTTGAAGAAATAGAATTATCTGATCGAAAAGAAGATGAAAACATTGACATATGACGGTTTTTTGATGACGTAGTGGTGACGTGACGACCCTAATCAAAAGACCATTATTTATCAATATGGGTGCATGAGTATTTTAAAGTGATAAAAATAATGAACGTAAACGATTTTTTAAATTCGAGCGGCGAGGAAGGCAACAGTGACATGGAAACGATGGACGTATCGTTAAATTGTGAGGATCCTGAACTCATGAGTTCAGAGTTTTTCGACTCTGTCCTCTCTCTGGAAAACAATATGGATGATGAATTTTCTAGTGAGTTTCTATCAAATTTAGACGAGGATATCAATCTATCCAGCGATACCAGTTCTAATGTCGATGAGGTTCTATCTCCCCAAAGTTTTTATTCTGAAAGTGATAAAACCAGTTCTTGTGATGAAACCACAACCATATTGGGAAACATCGATGGTTTTGACGAATTAATGTCTATGCTGGACCCTATTCCTGAATACCAAGTAAAAGAACCCCCGCCTCCAGTTACAGTTCAAAAATTACCGACCCAAATTGTAATCCAAAACCCCAATAACAAAAAATTTATTTCTAAACCTATGATAAGTACTAGTCAGATTAAGAAACCACAGATACTTAAAGTACAACAGATTTCAAACAACGGTAGTCCAGTTTTGCTGCCTCTAAACATAAAAAGCATTAAAATTTTGAACACCCCTGCAGAAGTTGCTGCATTCACTGGCAATTTAAGAAAGAGAAAAGTCGAGCCTAAAATTAACGATAACGTAGTTACCTCGACTAATCAGTACCCTCCGTTAGTTCTTTCACCAGAAGAAAAGAGGTTGTTAGTCAAAGAAGGTATTTCTCTACCCACACACCATCCTCTCACTAAAAACGATGAAAGAGAGCTCAAAAGGATCAGAAGAAAAATCAGAAATAAAATTTCTGCACAAGACTCCCGCAAACGCAAAAAGGAGTATGTTGATAATTTAGAGGAGAGAGTCAGAAGGGGTTCAGAAGAAAATAAGAATCTTCTACAGAGAGTTAAAGCCCTTCAAAGGCAGAACAAAACATTGATCGCACATGTTAACAAGTTACAAGCTTTGATTTGCAATTCTACAACTTCTAAAGCAACTCCATCGACTTGCCTTATGGTGGTTTTACTGTCTGCATTGCTGGTATCTTTGCCTAACATGAAGTTGTTCGAGAGCAGCAAACATTCTCAGATGCCTAGTGAGCAGGAGCAAGTGGCTGTTAGGAGGTCCTTACTGTCTAGCCCTCAAGCGACAGAAGACAATTTGAACATGGAGGAGTTCTTGGTTTTTAAAGATGAGGTCAGTGTTAGTTTTATATCGTTTGAATGGTGTATGGTGTAATCTATGTTTTCATTTTTGCAATGTTGGTTTATTAATAGAAAAAAAGTAGATGAGAAATGAGAGTTCAGAATGAGCAAACTCCCAAAAACAGGGTTGGGTAAAAAATAAATTAAAAAATATATAACCTAGTTTTTTTAAGGTTTTTAGTTCATGTTTGTCAAAAATTATTAATAAAAATTGAAAAATAGAATTTTATTAGGTGTATTAATAAATCACAATCTGCACACAAAAAAAGCTAAGTGAAAAATAAATTGTATTTTTTTTAATTGTCACTATCACTAATATCAATATCAAGAAGTTCCAGTAATAACCTTTGATAAAATATTTGCATTTTTTATATATAGGTATACCCTAATTTTTGTCCCATCCTATTTAGTAATATTGTGAATTCTAAATATTTCTCTAAAAAACCTAATATTGGCAAAATTTTCACTTATAAATTTTTTTTAATAACCTGAAAAACCTAGATGCTAAAAACGTGTACCTCTCAACCCTGTCCAAAATGGTTGATTTTTAAAATATCCTATTCCTATTGTATTTCTAAAATAATAATAATAATCTGATGAAATGATGTACAAGATCTTAAAATTGGTTGAAGAACTGATGAAAAAATATAAGGGGTTGATTTGAGGGTGATTTACAGCCCGGCAAAATATTTTGAGATATACATTAGGTTGAACACATAAATATCAAATTTATATAAAAGTTTCATTTTATTCCAATTTAAGCAGGCAAAGATTTTTTAAGTGTTTAGTAGAAGGACTGGATTTGAGGGTGATTTCCTGCCCCGCAAAATATTCTGACATATTCATCAAATAGAAGACATAAATACAAGCTAATTTGTTTATACAAAAATTAATTTACTTGCATTTTAAGCCAGTAAAGATTTTTTAAGTGTTTAATATAAAGGCTTGTTTTGAGGGTAAATAATTTTTTGTAATTTAGATACATACGATTTATTACAGTTTGTTTACAATAAATTAATTATTCACGGCCCAGCCATGGATTCACGGCTCAGCCATGGATTCATGGCCCAGCCATGGATTCACAGCCCAGCCATGGATTGATTACCGCTGGCGCTTTGGTTCCCGCCGTCAAACTCATGGCTGGAACTCGTGGCTGTTTTCACGCCGGTATATATAAGTAGGGTTTTAGTTCATACATATGGTAGGAATTATTATTAGAGTTAAACAAAAAATACAAACAAATCATGAAAAATAGAATTTTATTGTATTCAAAAAAGTAAGGTTTAAATACCCAATGAGAATAATTACAGAAACCTTAAATGAACAATAAATTAATTAGTGACACCTAATTTTTTTTAATTTAATAATCCCTATTTATTTTACACATAACTTGTAAATCTTTACACTTACTATACAAATTGAACTGAAGGACCTAGGTCGATGACCAATTGGTTCTAAAGTTTATGACCAATAAAGTGCTTTTGTTATTTTTGTATTAAAAAAAGTTACATTCTACAAACAACAAAAAATGTGAAAAATAAATAAATGGCATTTTTGTATTAAAAAAGTTACATTCCACAAACAACAAAAAATGTGAAAAATAAATAAATGGTATTTTAGACAAGAAGTTCCAGTGGTAAAATATATATACACTAATTTTTGCACCCTTTCTGCTGAGAGCTGATGAGTAAAATTATGATTTCTAAATATTTTAGGTTTCATAAACTTAAAAAAACAAAACATGCAGAGAAAAAATGAATGCAGTTTATTTACCTATTTATTCAGTGGTTAACTATTAAATTTATACAATATAAAAAATATAAATCCCTTAATAATTGAGTACATAAATTATACAATTAAAAGAAAAACATCACTAATGATGTGGAATTAAACAGACCTACCACTACATATTTATGTCACTGTTGAAAATTAATTAGGTTTTCTTTAATGTTCTTTTGTAGAATAAATGCTCAATTTAAAGTTTTTTTAAACGCTACTGTGAATCCCTGCAACACACTTCATATGGTTCATAAGTGCAAATGTTTTACTTAAATTTACTTCTTATTGGTTAGACACATATTACAATTAAAAAGTAAAATTAGCACCACCAAATGCGAATTTTTATAAAATGAAGTTGGCATTTGTTTGTTTAACAAAAAATGTCATTTGTCCAACAAAAAATTTCGTTTGTCCACTCTTCAAAAAAAGTTACATCTAAATTAAAAATTTGAGCCAAATTTCACAACAGCACCACTTTAAAAACTTCTTAATAATTTCAAAGATTTGACTATATTTTTTTGTCCATTCAAAAGTTTCGTTTGTACACTCCCCAAGACCAAGAAATTTAAACAAAAAAAAAATATTGCACGTGGTTGTTAGGGACAACCTTAATACATTTCATATGAATTAAGTACAGCAATCGTTTGTGCACACATTATTTTCGTTTGTCCAGACCTTATTTTCGTTTGTCCAGGCCTTATTTTCGTTTGTCCATCCAACAGAAATAAATTATTAACAAATACAGAACTCAAAATATGAACAATTATTAGTATACTTATACTAACTACTTACTTCTAATGGCAATTTATGAAGACTAACTATTGCAATCATTTGTCCACACATTATTTTCGTTTGTCCAGCCCCAATTTTCATTTGTCTACCCAATAAATTAGTTATTAACAAATAAAAAGCCAAAATTTGAACAATTATTAATATAAATTTTTCTAATGGCAATATATTAAAACTAACTACTGTAATTCTTCCGATACACATTATTTGCCTTTGTCCAGTCCTTTTTTTCATTTGTTCTACCAACAGAAATAAGTTATTGACAAATAAAAAACTCAAAATATGAATAATTATTAATATAAGTACTTCTAATGGAAATTTTTTAAAACAAATTGTTGTATTTAATTCGTATGAAATGTATTAAGGTTGTACCTAAAGATCATGTGCAATATTTTTTTAAATATCTCGATTTTGGGGGGTGGACAAAGTAAACTTTTGGTTGGCCAAACATGGACAAATCGTGGACAATTATCCAAAAAAATGTTTTTATGGCGGTGCTGTTGTGAAATTTGTCTCAAATTTTTTATTTTGTTATAATTTTTTTTGAAGGGCGGACAAAAAAAAATTGTTGGACAAATTGTGGACAAATGAATGACAACTTCTTTTTATAAACACTCGCGTTTGGTAGTAACTTCAAGGACCTAAGAAGTAGGTATGAATGTGCTTAACTATTTTTAAAGTCAAATTTTTAGTTTTAAAATAATTTTAATAGTTTTCAGTCTTTTAGCCAGAAATAAATTCAAATATTTGTTTAATAAATTAATACCTAAGTTTCCTAAATAATATTCCTTTTTCATAATATTGTAATTAGCAGTCCTTTTTATGATTCAAAATACACCACTGCTGTTCTCATTAAAATTCAATCATGTGTAAATCATTCATAATTTATTTAAATAAAATTCCACTGTGCATATCACTTTAAATCAACAAGTATTTATATATTTTGTATGAATAAAATTGACAATAAAGCAAAGTTCTTGATAAATCCCTAAATAATTTGGTACATAAATTGCACAATAATTAGAAGAAAATCTATCACTAAAAAAGTGAAATTAAACAGATCTACCTGTACATATTTACATTTGCATCCTTCTTCTTATTGAGAATTTTGAAAATTTGTATAAAGTTTCTATACTGTTCTTTTATACAAAAAATACACAATAGGGTAAAAGATTGCAATGATAGTGCATGGTACTCCCCTCAAATACACTTCATATTATTCATAAGTGGGAATGTTTATTTAAATTTACATTAGGTATTTTAAACCATTTTTGATAAAAATACTTTCCAATTATCTTTATTCAGCAAAATTATGGAATTGTTTTTTAATGAATTAATAAAAAAAGCTGACTGGGTAATATTCATTGAAATCTGATTACCTATTGAATTTCTTGTTATATTAAATAATAATAATAATAATTTAATATTGGTAAAAATTTAAAATGTTTTCTATAATTTGTTGAAATATAAAGTAACTTCATTTCATATCTTAAAAGATATTTTGATTTTATGTTATCAGTTTTTTTATTATTATTATTAAAAACAATTAAAGGCTGAGAACTAGATTCTTTATAGCCTAACAATTTACAATAGTGAGTTAGTATGGTTTGAAGATAATTAATTGTTCATAAAAAAGTCTAATCTATTTTTAACATTTTTATGGATGTGGAGAGTCTATAACATCATTGGGCAAGCTGTTCCAAACTTCAAAGATTCTGCTTGTTAAAAAATATGGTCTGTATTTAGTCCTATAGTGTTCTTTTTTTAATTTGAATTGGTGACCTCTTAGTCTGTTATCATGATTTAAAGAATAAAAATGAAGATTATTCTTTATTCTAAAATTTAAAAATATACAGATTTTTCCATTTAAACTAATAATTATTTCCCGTCAAACATGAAATAAAAACAAAATTATTTCATTTCAAATACAATTATTAGTACGAATGATTCAGTACATTAGTTTAAATCGAAAAAGTAATAAATCGTTAAATAGCAAGACCTTTAAATTTAATTTTTATGTCATTAGAAATGCATGGTTCTGTGGATAAACATTACTCTATCAGAATAACAAATTCCAAATAAATTTTTTATAATAACTTAATAGCAAGACCTCTAAAAATATATTTTTTAGGTCTTTAAATTTCAAATACAGGGCCATAGTTGACCTTGTTCAAATGTTATCTGAGTTATCAAAGTAAACTAAAAATAAAATGTTCAGAAAATAACAGGCTGCCATTTGGTATCCGAAAATGTTTTTAGTTTGTTGTTGTTCACTCTACAGGGAGGTTCAAAAACCACAAAAATTATAATTTATGTACGCTCCTGTGTACAGTACACTGACAAATCAGTTGAAAACGATAATAAGGTAACAGTATTAAAAAAGAATTAAGCAACAATTAAAAAAAAAAAATATCGGAATCGAATGAAAACTTTAAAAGAAAAATGATGCTAAACTTTTTTTTTTCCTTTTCAAGAACATTATGTTTATTTTTATTTAATAAAAAAATGAATCTAATCCAAAATAGAAAATTATATTTTTTTGATTGGAAACTAAGTCAAAGGTTTCCATATTAGTATATTATTTATATATAAAGGTTTTTTATTATGTTTTTATTTGCTTATAAATATTTCTAATCAAAACTTTTAAGTCACCACGTGCTTTTGCGATAATTCATAGATAACAATTAATTCAAGGGTAGCAAAGGTGATATGCAATGTTTAAATTTATAATTAGTATTTATTTTTTTCGTTATGTAACAAATGTACTTGGGACTTAATACCTATATTAGGAGTTATCAGTTTGTGATAAGATGTATTTTATGACACAATCACTACTATTGCGGCTTAATTTTCAAATATTACATTAAATTGTATATAAATTATTAAAACTGAATTTGTAGATAATATGCGTATCTTTATAAATTTCTAAATTTAATAAATAATTCAAATACATTTTTTTTATTTTTGAAATTGATAAGATATGAGCTATTAATATTTTTAAAAAAAATATTGATTTCTTTTTAACGAATAAAAACGATGAACATTTTTTTTTTAAATTTCCTTACAGGAGGACTTCGAAGGCAGACTGGACGATATGGAAATGGAAAATTCCACTGAACAGGAGATGTCAAAAATCCTAGAAGACATGGCTAAGAAGTACGACAGCATAAATCCAGAGAAAAAAGATTCTCTGGGTCTGTTCTCCAGGGTCATGGAGAGCGTGAAGGGTCTCCTGACGAACGGCGCCAAAAAAGAACCGTTCGGTGGGGGCACAGATTACAGTGGGTATCCCAAAAAAGGATTCATGGAACCCGACATCGACGAGTACGTACCTGCGGACGATCCACCGAAAAAACGGATGAGAATCGATTTAAAATCGATGCCTGTCAATGAGAATATCGTTACTACGACAGTGAATACGCGTAAAATAGCTTTAAATACGAAAGAAAAATAAGTTTTAAGGAACTTACCTTTCCTTCAAGAACATGCGGATGCTTGAATGTGGAACATTTAGTTAGGTTTTTTTAACTATATTAGTGTTGTGTTACTATCGTAAATCTATCTGTATTTTGTATAAGCTCATTCCATATTTATTAGTTGTTTCAAGTGGTTTAATTAATTTTATTAACACTTCAAAATTAAATGCTAAAAAGGTACGACTATTCATATGTAAATTATTTTCGTTATTGCACTATTTTTATTTTTGAGACTGTTTAAAAGAGATTTTTATTGATTATATTTTATAGAAAAATAGAATCATTTCGTCGTCATTTATATGTTTATATATATTTTTGCTTTATAATGCTCATGTAATTGCGTTCTTTTTGGCGGTTTTAACTTGGTTAATGTTAAGTTTGTGTAGATATATATATTATATATTACAAGAAAGAAAGTTTTAATCCTTTTATTGTAATTATACATCAGTTGAATATACGCATTTGACGTCTGGAATATCTGCATTTTTATTTATTCACGATTCTCGTTTGATGAACCCTAATGAATTTAGACAAACCGTTACGAGCGGGCAAGAACATAGGCCAACATCCACGAACCTAAGCACCTTCTAGCAACTTGTATATATATATGTTCTTAAGCTCATTTTAATTTGCTAGAGAACGCGCGAACTTCCTCGAACCTTGATGAGCTTTTAAAGAGCCTTTGTAAAGTTAAAATAACCATCACGAGCCTGCATGAACTTAGGCGAACCTACACGAATCTCCATAAACTTTACCGAACCATTAGACGAACATACACGAATCTCTATGAACAGACAACATCCAACATCTCAAATATCTTAATAAGTATGTATGAACATCAACGAGCTTCTACCAATTTTTATATATGTTCTACAAAACCATTTTATTTCCATTTGACGCAATTAAAAATGCCTTTAAAAAAAGAAACCTTTCATGCACCATAATTTAATTTTTTCTTCACATTGTGAAACTAGATATTTATTTTGAAAAAAAATCCTATTAAATATTCTACAAACCCTAGAGCATACACGAATCTTGACGAGCTTAGACAAACAATCACGAGCGCGCACAAATTTAGGCGAGCCTCCACGAACCTAAGCGAATTGACACCTCAAAAATCCAGAATAAACTCGTATGAATATCATCAAGCTTTCTATCAACTTGTATCATATGTCCTAACAACCTTCTTAAAATCATACTAATTCGCTAGAGGATGTGCTAACACACGAATCTTGATGAGCCCCAAAAGCCTTCGAGAACTAGAACTAAGCATCACAAGCCTGCATAAACTTAGGCGAACCTACACGTATCTCCATGAACGATCAGACGAACCTACACGAATCTTCATTAACTTAAGCGAACTAACATCGCAAATATCTGCTAGCTCAGAAAAATAAATATCTCAAAATCTGTTTCTGGTAAGTTAAAATTTCCTTATTATCATGTTTTATGTACCTATGTTTAAATGACACCATTTTTAATTTTTTGTTATAATGAAATTAGAGAGATTACTGGGATAACTAGAAAATTTGGCATCAGCGCGGTTATGATTATCAGATTTTTGAGGGTTTCCAGACTTTTCGTATATCCTGTAAAAACATTTATTTTGAAAATAATCTATGAACAAACTCTGATTTTGTCCTTTAGAAACACCACTGATTTATACCACAAGAATTTTGAGTACATTTGTTATGGGCTGAAAAAGAGAAAAAACTAATAATTCAAACAAAATATGTTAAATATATCTTTGCTTTGACAATTTTTTTTTTATTTTTTGTTATTTCACTAAACCAAAAACATTCAACTTTTGTTTGGATTATTATTAGTTCTGAAACAAGCAATAAGGTTTTTAAAGAATAACATTTTTTCGAAAAGGTGAAAATAAAAAAGTTTTCCCTGGTATTTTTCAGTCCATCCTGGAACAACTTCTTTATGTTTTAGCTCCTTAGATAAAGTTTTATTAGAAATGCCATAGGTCTTTTGTAATTTTTTACGGCAAAAAGACGAACAGTCCATATAAAAAAAAAATATATATATATATATATATATATAAAATAAAAAAGAATGTTTATTTGAACGTCACTGTCTGGGTATTACAACAGTATACGGGATATTCCAAGATTTTTTAGAGATTATTACATGGAAACTATTTAACATGCTTTAATTAATTTAATACATAGTGTTTCTAATCTGTTATAGTTTACGCAAAGTTCTTTGCGATTATTAATTAAAAGTGTAATTATCTTAAGTGATCAAACGGTTATAGGATTCAATTATTGCAGAATTAGGGGCAAAGGGTTAAAATTAACCCTGGGTTATAAAAATAACTGGATGTTATTTTTAATTTAAATGGGCGAGCTTTTTTAATACTTGTCCAATAGAACCAAATCTGTTATTCCGTCAATTAAAAAAAAAAAAAAAAACAAAATTTTTAAAATAATGGTTAGTACAATAAAATAAAAAAAATAGTTAAATGAAAATGGTAATAATAATAATTATCAAACAATAGTTAATAGAATACACCAACAAAACATATTCATTATAGAATAGGGGCAAATCGACAGTTCAAAAAAATTATTTTCTGTTTATCAAAAAGATAGTTTTTATATTTAAATTTATTAATATTAAATAATTTAAATACCTCTGGCAAAGAGTTATACAATTTTATAGCATTATAAGAGAAAGATTTCTGAAACATTGCTTTTAGATTCTTCGTCAAAGTAATTTTGACGCAATTTTCTATAATAATAATAGTAATTCATCCCCTTACGAGTGAATTTTAACTCCAAAAACTGAATTTGTCCGGGGAAGGGACGGTTTTATTATTTGCCAGGGCCACTTAAAGATGATTTGACTTATAGGTGAGGAAATCCGCGGTAACGCATATCGATTTATATAATTTACCTTAAACTAATTATACACAAGTATATTTTATCAAAAACCTTGAGGTGTCTGCTTTGTTTGTTATCGGATCGTACATTTATTAACTTGTTTTTGTTCTATTTTTATCTTTAAATAAAATAAACTTGTTGAAATATGAACTATAATCTTGGACTGTAAAAATATGAGTAATGTTTTTTGCAGTTAATTAAGCATACTAAATATGCTTCATCTAACCAGTATATTAATTTATTATTATTAAAAATATATACAGCGTGAGTCTCTCTAAACAGATCATTTAAATATTTGGTAGTAATTATTCGATTTTAAAAACATGGGGACATTTTTACCGATGTCAACCTCCTCTCTTTCACTTTCTCAACTACTTATTTTGAAATGTACCAAGTGTGGTACATCACCGAAAAAATGATTTTATGGGGAATTCGGCAATATGACTTAATTGCGTTACTTTTGATTTTAGCCCTCTAGCGGGCTAAAAAACTGACGTATTGTAAAGTGCGATACTTTAAGTAAAAGCGGATATTAGATTTATAATAGGAAAAGGGAATTCATGAATAAAACAAAAAAATAAATATCAATACTAGCAGAGAACCTTTTATTATATCGCTACAGAACTTTTCATTATCTGTAAATTCGAGAAAATTCATTTATGCTTTTATAAGAAGTTTCTAATTTAAAATAACCCTCTTATTTTCTTCTTTTGGTATTCTAATAAAAATATATTTATATATAGTGTGCAGAGTTGGCCGAGTACTGCATTAAAGTACTCGTGAGTATTCAACAATGAGTAGCTTTGCAAAGTATTCATAAGTATCCGAGTATGAGTACTTATATGAATAATACTTAAAGCAAATGAGTACATAAGCAAAATCAAGTACTTTAAATAATTCTAGTTAATGAATCAAGGTTAGAAAGAAGGAATTGTAGTAATTAGTAATAGTAATGGACAAACGAAAACGAGATTATTACTTATCTTCTATCAATTAGTTAGCACTAGCGTGTACGTCCAACTTTGAATTTCAATGTTAAAGAAATAAGGGTGTTAGATAAAGGTAGAAATACTCAACAGTTATACAGGATATTTATTGAGTGCCGATACTTAAGGGTGTGAATCCTTGGGTGATTTTAGGAAGAAAAGTCAATATCTCGTAAACCTATTAATTTTTGATTACAGTTTTATAAAAAAAAATACTTTTTTATCATAATTTTTTTGAATTTTTTTTTAATCATTAAGAAGCATTATTTGACGTAAAGATTTTTACCAGTGACGTCCGTCCGTACGGAGTTTGAACTGAATATTTTTGAAAAAAAAAATGGCTTTTCTAAAAATATAAATTATTTTTGAAATCCTGATTTGGAGCAAATTTGGTCCATGCACTTATTTTCGTATGATGCACCGTTTTCACGTAAAAAAATAATAAAACCGGCCAAGTGAGAGTCGGACTCGCTCATAAAGGGTTCCGCACCATCGTACAAAATTTAATACTAATTAAATACTTTATTAAGATAGTAGGCAGTGGCGTGCATGCAATAGAAGCATAAAAGCATTGGCTACCCTAGAAAAAATACCAATATAATACACATTTTTTTTAAATTAACGATATAAAAAATCTGATGTGTCCAACACATGACTTTTCTATCTAGTTATTGTAGGTTTTTTCCAGTTATTTTGTACAATCTATTGCGGAGAACCTCTATAAATGTTTAGAGGATAAACTAAATATATACATTTTCCACATACATCTACCTCGAAACATTTTTCTATAGATATTCATTGAAAACGAAAATACTGAAAAATTTAAATTTAGCACTTTTCTTACAATTTTTCCATTACGGTCCATTTTAGAAAAAGCATGTATGAACAAAAATTATAGAGATCGATATCGGAAACAACTTTTAGTTCAACAATTTTCATAAAAATCAGAATTTTGCACATTTTGTCAAATTTCTCGAATAAGGACCATTTCAAGAAATTTTGACATAAAGCAAAAATTATAGATAATAATATTAGAAGTAACTTTTATTTAAACAATTTTCTTCTCCAAACATAAATAACAGATATATTTCATAAAATATAAAAACGGCCTCCCATAAAGTCCCCCAGATGTTCCGACTTTGTCCAAAATCTAATCATTTCACGTCAGGCCGAAATAAAGCTTAAGTTTAAAATTTAATGTTTTTTTCTTTATCCGTTTTTGAATTTTCTTCAAAATTTGAAATTTTCATATTTTCTCAAATAACACGAATACGGTCCATTTTAGAAAAATTATGTATAGGATAAAAATTATAGAGAATTATATTAGAAACAACTTTTATTTGAACAATTTTTATATAAAAAAAAAAAATTTTACATTTTGTAAAATTTCTCGAATACGGACCATTTTAGGAAA